CATAACCACGGGGGCAGCAAAAAGGAGTGGCTGGAAGAGAGAGGGGACCAGGAAATCCTTAAGCTGGAGCTGCTGCCAAAGCCTTTGTATTGTAAGGCTAGGGCCTTGGTGACTAATTCTGCTGTTTAACCTTGAGCAAACAGTGGAGCTGAGAATAAATTTTTTACGCTGTGGCTCAGCCTTGTGCTGATCTGCCATGTCACTTTGCTTTACTTTTGTAGAGTAGTCTTTGTTAGAGAAACATCTGTCGGTCTGTGCTGGCTGGAAGCAATGTTTGTCAATATGCGTTGTGTTCAAATGTACCAGAGGTGTTCCGTATCACGCACCAACCACTGAGAGCTATTCCTGTCCCATTTGTCTTTCTTCTGTTTGCTCAAGGATTGACGTAGATGAGATGATTTATACAGAAGGTATTATTTCTCCATGGGTGGTTATTCCACATCTTTTTTCATCAGTGTACAACTTGGACTTATGCGGTTGTGCTTCACAATTACTATTGTAATATCCCCCACGTGTTGTTGTCTCGTGGCCTTTAGACTTTCATGTGGTGACTAGGTGATCTTTTCCAGGGTGGCTAATCATGAAGTTGTATGTAAACTTAATACCACTGCCAACATTTAAGGTTCACATGTTGTGAATCAGGATTCTACTTTTACAATTTTGAGACCTCTTTGTTAGCTGGAATTTGGTATGGAGGTTAGGATAGGTGGATTGGTGTTGGGTTTTTTTTGAGCTTCAGAATGAATGCTTAAATGCTGAGACTGTGGCAAGAGCAGACAAAGTATTTATAAGAAATTTTTTCCAGTAAGATCTTAGCTGCTCTACTTAGCAGCTTTCTTTGCTTAGTTCAGACATCTTTAGCAAAGCTGTATTGTTAACAAAAGGAGATATAAAAATCCTGTGGGAAGACAGAGAAGTTAATGTTTAAAAATACACAAAGTGATTTAGTAAGTAGTGTTGCATTATTGTGTGGGGAGGAACTGAATTCTTTCAGCAGATTAGTTTTAAGATGCCTTGGCTGTGCCCTCCTGGGCAAAGCTGCAGCCCACATAAAACTTTATACTGAAAGTTATTCTCCTATTCAAACCAGAAATTGGGTTACACCAGTATTCATAAAGAATATTATTAGCATCAACTGGGCTGGCTTTGTGACAACTTTGGATGAAAACAGGGAAAAGCAGACTTCTTTCACAGTAACCAAATGTAGTATTGGCATTTATTTGCATTGACGAAGATATTTCAGCAAGTGAGCTACCCCATCAGTTCCTAAGTTAGCTGTTGTATGAGAAATGTCTCTGCAATCAGTTGTGCACGCACTTCAGTGCTGTAGGCTTATGTTTAAAATAAGGTTGGAGGTGTCTCAGAGTGTTTCAAAAGTTTAAAAGCTACATTGCTGAAGTTCTTCTATTCTATTTTCTAAATGGTTTATTCAAATAATGTATGAGGAGCTGAGTGTTGAAGCCCTGTGTATTTAGAGGCAGTATTGCAAAGGGGAGTTAGAGGTGAGAGCGGGAGTTTGCTGTTAGGTAATAGTTTGTCAGAAGAGTTGTAGGGTCATGTCTACTCTTACAGCAGCCAAGAATTCGTTATGCTTGAGTCTGGTACCTCTGTCTTGTCCCTTTCTATGAACTAATTTGTTCAGAGTTATACACAAGACCCTAGATGAATGATTTGCATAGATTGGACAGTAGTTATGTTATTTTAACACTATTCTATGCATATATGTATATTCCTATATAGTAGAATTATTCAATTTTGCATTTTCATTTACTACAATTGAGTTTAAAGCCTTGTTTCTTCTATTTTGATACTCACAGGAAAAAGTAATTCCTCCTAAAAGCTCTTCAATTTTTATCACACTTCTAACCAATAGGTATTTTCACAATAGGTATTTTAAATGGAGTGTCCTGGAAGGGAATAGGGCAATTGCATGTGCAACTAAACACAGATGAGCTTGGACAAATTGTACATGTAAAAGGTTTTAAAGGCTCTTATTTCACATGGAGAATGTTAGCAAGTGAACCCAAAGTACATCTTCTGCAAGTTGCATGTCCCAGAGAAGATGTAGCTGTGAAATTTGTTGGTCAAAAATTAATTTTAAGACCTTTCAGTAAGGTAACAACATTGCTTCTTTAATCAGGATTTTTTGACCAAAAAAAATTATATACCTATCATTTAACACAGAATCCAGGACAGTACATTCACATTCAGAATCATCCTTTTCCTTGGTTAAGCACCATCAAATAATGCAGGGTTTCTCTTGTTTTTTTTCTTCTCCTCTTCTGCTCAGACTGTGTCTACTGTGACAAATTGTTGAAAAGGTTTACAAACCAATAGATGCAGTTCAGAGAAGGAGAGTAGTAATGCAAGTGAAGAAACTTCACAAATGAAGAGTAAACAACTTGTCTGTTTGCTTCTGTTGTTAGCAGAATAAACAGGAATGAAACAGGTCTGTCATTCTGTCTGTTCATGAAATATCTACCTGCCTGCATTTTTGGTCTCAGACTCTCTTGTTTACCTGAATGGCCTAAGTTTTGTGTTGGTTTTAGTCCAAATACACACACCTAGTGCATTTATGGTTATTCCAATAAGGAAATTATATTGAAATACAAAAAAAACTAAATATTGGTCCTGTTGCAAAATGGTTGACTGAAATTATCTCAGAGAACTCAAGGAAAGCAGAAGTGAACATCATTGTGTTCAGTCTTGTAGCTTTGGTCTACATGAAGCTGGCAGCCTTTTGGATACATGCTCCTGCCAGCTAAGCAGGGTCTTACCCTCCTCACTGGGCTGCTGAAGTTCGGGAGCAAACTTTAAGGCATCCTTAGCAAGGGTCTCTGCTTTTGTAATTGCAAACAAAAGCAGAAATTCTGCTAACAAAAGGCATTGAGGATAAAGAATGCTAACCTTTAAAATGTTCTCCACTAGGTATGAGAAGTGTAATGTTAGCATAAGAATAGTTTTCAGTTTTCTGCCAGGGAAATCAGCCTGTCTCTAGTAGCACATTAAGTCACAGCTGTGGTGTGCCCTGCAACATGGACACTGGCAAAACAATTAGCCTACTGGAAAAAAGGGGGAAATTTTTTTCTTCAGAAATAGTCTTGAGTGAATAACTAATAGCAATGGGTTTTGGAAGGGATTAAAAAACAAACAAAAAAGTGTAAATATTTCACATTAAAGGAGGGCAGGGTTCCTCCTTATCTGTGCAAAAGAGGTCATTGGCTACAAAGCCAGAAGCCTCTCTGGCATGAGATGGAAGCTTCATGCAAGGACTGTGGAAATCAGACTCTTATCAGGAGTTTGTGTTCCTGATAGCCTGATTTCTTTATGATGTGGGAGTGCGCATGGCAGAGCCACTGAGTGGGAAAACGTGCTCTCAAAATAAGAAGAAGGAGGAGGAGGGAAGGGATGGTCTGTGTCCCTGATGGTTGTCACGTCTTACTGACTGCTCCATTTCCATGAAGAGTGACCAAGTGCTGTCCTCATTACACTAACTCTTAACTGTTTCCTGAATGGTTTATTCTCCTTTTCTTCCTGTAACCTTTGACTAGTGTGTTCCTGGACAGGCAGAAATGGGATAAGTACCTTGACATATTGTTGGTCTGGCATGTTAGGGAGCTCTGAATAGGTTTTTCTGATGCTGTATGTGAAGTCTTTGCTTTTCTGTTTGAACCCCTTTGCTGCGCTGTGTGTGAAGTTTGTAGCTGAACCAGCTCCAAACCAACATCTGGGGCAGGTGAAGAGTTGTTTTGGTGTACTTAAGCCAAGTGCTCTTCCATAACTGCTGGCAGTGCAGGCAGCAATGTTGTTCAACCACTGTCTGCAGTCCAGTCCTGGGGACTTAGGAGGCTTTTGGAGCCCCCATTCAAGAAGTTTCTTCGTCTTGCTCTTGAAATGAGCGGAAGGAGAACAGAACAACTTTGAGTGTCTGTTGGTACACATCCAAGGTGTGCTATGGACTCTGTGTGTGTATAAAGTTCCCTAATGTTAGATATTGCATATGTATTTAATATTTTTTGGAAAGCATATATTTGTATAAAAGAACCCAAAGCCATCCTTTCAGCCCTACGTCATCTCTCTCCAGATGTCCCCATTTCAGTTTCTCATTTTTTGGTCTGAAAAGTTAACTCTTGGCTAAAGTGTTCTCTGTTGTCTAAGGCAAATATTTTAGAAAACAATACAATCAGGGGAAAAGTTACAATTTAATCTCCTTTCATATGGAACTGAAAATCTGAGGTTATTCAGGCTGGAAAAGAGAAGGCACAAGGGACACCTTCTAGCAGCCTTCCAGCAGCTAAAGCAAGCCTACAAGACATCTTGAGAGGAACTTTTTTACAGGGATATGTAGTGATAGGACCAAGAGGGAATGGGGAACTGAATAGGATCTGAACTGAGTGTCAGTTTATATTGGCTATTGGGAAGAAATTATCTGCTCTGAGGGTGGGGAGGCACTGGCATGGATTGTCCAGACAAGTGGTGGATGCCCCATCCCTGTAAGGGTTCCAAAGCCAGGCTGGATGGGGCTTTCAGCAACGTGGTCTAGCGGAAGGTGTCCCTGCCCATGGCTGAGGGGTTGGAGGTAGATGATCTTTAAGGGCCCTTCCAACCCAAGCCATTCTATGATTGTGTGATCTCCCTGGCTAATAGAGACTATATTCCCAAAGTCAACAGCTTGTTTTCTACTTCTATTTTGTTGGTAGCTAAATGAGAGATAATTAAAAATGCCTAGAACCTTTCTGTGTACCTCTCAAAACAGAAACTGCAATAGATTGGCTAGCTTCTCATTTTACATGTAACAATTGAAATAGTACGGAGTTATGACTGTATTTAATGTGAAATGCTTTTTGTTTCTTTTGGATAAGTCATGGTTGCGTATTTTATATTGACTGATAATTGGTCTTGAAACTTTTTACATCTTGAATAATAATTGAATTTTAAGTCAGCAATTTTAAAATATTTTGTTTTCTTTTTCGTTTTCGTCATTCTCTGCCCTGCTTCAGACCAGAGGAAACCAACAGAAGAGTGAAAAATGTAAGAGAGTTGCACTTTAATTGTGATTAATTATTTTTTAAGTGCTTGTGTTTATGGTACTATCATATTTACCTTATTCTTCAGTTGTTGATTTAGCTGATACAAATTCATGCCATTTTACAATGATCTCTATGTGCAGCTTACTTTCCCAAATCATTGAATTGGGAAATAATAATTGAAAACAGTACTTACATCTACTTACTTGAGATATGAGAGGCATCATGACACTCTTTAATTGGTTTTGGTGGCAATCTTAGCTAATAATGTATGCAAGATTTTGCAGTTCACTGTAGAAACATCTCTAACAGCGTGCTGAAATTCTTTTACACTGGTACATGTAATGAGATGAAAATAATTAAATTTGTATTCAGTTTTTTTTTTTTTTTCCTGTTTGTTTTTAGGTTTTGATTACATTATACTGGCTTGGAAGAAAAGCTCAAAGTGACCCTGATTATAATGGTCCATACCTGAATCTTAAAGCATTTGAGAAGTTATTAGGGCAAGCATTGAGTAAGGTAAGGAATCCAAAAAAGGAAACTAAACTAGTAACCTGAAGTTTATAGCAGCAATTCTAAACAGTCTCCTGGGGGTTTCATTTTCTTCCTAGTTTGGAGAACATATTAATTTGTTTTGCTTGCTATCTAGTTCCATATGAAAGGAATGATTTTTAGCTTACGTTGGTTCTTCTGCTACCCATATGAATTTTGGAATACATCTGGTCTAATTGATGTGGTAGATTGTGAAGAGCACTATCTCAATCCTCTTTGGCTGAGATGAAAGAAATTTAAGACCTTTTACCAAGTCTCCTGTTCAAGCTGTTGTATGTGTTGTAGTATATGTATTTTAGGGTTTTGCAGTAGTTGTAGAAGTTTATTTGTGAATTAAAAATGCTCATGAATAGCATTTGCACCCTAAATTCTTGAAAAAAGACCTTTCAAAACTTACTCTTGTAGGCACTTGAAGAGTCCAGCCAGCCCAGCAGAAGTGGCAGAGATAGTGGGTACGGCGATATTTGGTACGTTGACCGGGCAGAGCCCTTCTCATCTTCAGTTACTCATAAAAGAGACGATTCCTTTGATAGCTTGGACTCTCTTGGTTCAAGATCCTGCACAAGCTTTTCATCGGATATAACCTTGAAAGGTGGCAGTGAAGGTATGTTTTCCTCTCTAAAATATTTTGTTGCTATGTACTTTATGGGTGTGGGAGAAGACAATGTATGAACCTGGTATTTGGGTATCCAGTACTGAAAGTCAGTTCTAGTTTTGCAGCTGCTGCGGTTGCATTTTGTTTAAGCAAATGTTCACTTCTAACAGTTGGTAGAAAAAAAGCACAGCTCACACTAGGTCTTCCTAAGAAGGGTTGCTGAAACTCGTGCTCTCACTGACACATTAGGGTGTGTGTATATCCAGGGTAAATTCCCAGATTTCTGTAAGAGAAATTGCTAGAAATTAGATCTGGATCATCTAAAATTGACCAGTTGCACAAGTCTCTTGCCTTGTTCTTAGGGTGACTGTGTCAAACTCTTATGTCTTTACTTCACTTGTGAATATTCAATAAGGTTTATCCCGCCTAGTTTAAATACTGAATAGTATTTGTTACTTTTAGTAGTTTGTCATGAAAATAAAGGTAACAAGAAGATAGTGACATTGGATCCCTAAAGCAGCCCTCTAGGCTGTGTTTCTCTGGTGAAAAGTTCAATGCCAACTTGTAGTCTAAAGTCACACAAATTGTGAGGTTTTGGATTTTGTTTCATGTGAGTAACAAAATCATTGAGCAAAGGCTCCATGGAGCATTGCTGATCTGTGCGAAGCAACATTTAGCCATATTATATATGTGTGATGTACCCTGGCTTTCTACTGGATGTTAATCTGGTGAAATGAGCGCATTGCTATATTATTTGCTGTTAACTTGCCTTTGTTAGTAAATTTATCTTGCAGATACTATTTAATTTAAAAATTTCTGTGCTGTTTTTTGTCTTTAGTCTGGAGGCCAGCACTTTGTTTCCTGCAGGGAGCAGTGATAATGAAAGAATGGAACAAATGCAGGAGGATCATGCAAACCAAATTGAGTTTAATGGATCTTATCACAGCTTTGCCACACACTTCTAAAAATACTTCTCCTACTGTCCTGTCAGTAGCTCAGGAAATTTGCAGCTGAAGCATCCCAAATACAGACATAAATTGATTTTAGAAGACTTTGATCCAAGTTTTAGCTACAAGCACATGTCTAGAGAATGATGTTTGTATCTTCCCCTTTTATTTCCACTTTCTTCTAAGGTTGTGACAGTGACACAGACTCGGAACTGCCTTCCAAAATGCATGACTCTCATAAAGATGACAGGTCTTACCGCAGGATTTCTATGATTGAACCAAAACCTACCACTGACTTCAATCGCTTCTTACCCAACAAAAACAAGCAGACAGCATATGTGCCAGCACCTTTAAGGAAGAGGAGGACAGAGAAGAATGAGGACAACAGGAGGAGCTGGGCAAGTCCTGTTTCCACTGAGTCAGATGGATCATTTTCAAGGTACTGGTGTGTTGTTAGTGTAAAGTGGGCTTTCATGTAGAATTTTAAAAATAAGTTACTTCTTTATTAGTTAAAGAAAAACTGCTCTTTCTGCAATAAAAAGTCAAGTATATGATTTTCCATGTTTTGTCAAGGGGGCTGTTTTGGTGTGGTTGTGTGGTTTTGGTTTCTTACATTGTTTTTTGATGTTTGAGTAATGTTTTTAAGCTGGCCAGACTCCAGATGTATTTAAATGCAAGTTTGTCAGAGATAGAACTATGGTTTTAACTGCTTGTTAAAGCTTCCAAAATATAGTGATGAATTTCAGTTGTCCAGCTTCTTGATGCATATAGATGAGATTAGTGGGCGGTTCTTGAGTTTCGTGACTTCACTGTCTTCATTCTATTCCTGTTTCGGTCAACCTCAGTGGATGTGAAACGAATCCTCTAGCTTCCTGCCAAAATAGCAGAGCAGAGTGTGGGCTCACAAATCCAGCTTCCCTCCAGATCATCTATGAGTATGACAGTAGCTCTGATTCAGAAGATGAAAGAAGGCTGCCCGACATTGTTTTGGATGACTTAGCAAATCGTAGATTTCTAGTCAAAAAGAGCCCTGTAAGCTCTGGTGCACCTGGACATCATTTCATGTTGCGCAATGACTCTTCTAAATCTTGCTCGCAAGAAAGTTATCCAGCTGGTCCACTAGCTGCAATGCTTGAACCACTGAGGTCAGAGATACTAATCCAAGATCCAGTAACTATTGCGTTACCTAAATTGCAGCCCTTAAATAACTCCATAAAGTTAATCTTCTAATCGGCATTTTAACACAGCTGATAATTTGATATGCTTTTTCTGTCAAATTTTGTATTTTTGTCAGAGGAGATAGGATGCTGATATAACCATTTAACTGCTTTTTAAATTTTTTTTATTTAACATCTTATTGTTTCTGGTGCTGCAGTGATGAAACTGAGAACTAATATGCTTCATTTACAAGGTTGAGCTCCTGAGCCAAAAAGCATGTCTTTTTGCATTCCTTATGTCAAGTTGCTCCTAAAATATCTTAACTGATCGGATATTTTGAACAGTAACCAGAGGAGGCAGAGGCAGTTGGATACTAAAGAGGAAAACAAACCAAGAGTTAACAATCCTTCACAGTTATCTGGGTATTGTGATGAGGACGAGGAAGAAGCAGGCATCCCAAACATTGAAAAAGATGATCTCTATTTTCGCAAGCTAAGTTCTTCAGCGCCAAATACAGTTGTTGCCTTTGACAAATTTCTTCCTAAGTTTTGGACTCCAGAGGAGGAATTTCTATGGAAAAAAATCAAGAAATCCTCTTTCAAACCCTGGTATAAAGAGATTCAAGGGTTCAGGTGCGTTTTTGTGCATGCCTGTTCCTCTCCTGTGTGCAAAGCCTAAATAAAGTGTAATTCTATGACTCTGAATTTTTAAATTTTCATTGCTGGTATAGCAGCAGGATATGTTTTATTTTTTCTTTTTTCTCTTTTTGAAAAAAAAGAATTGAAATATTATTTTTGTTACACTGTTGCACCTGTTGAACTGTTGCCACTGTGCATTTTTCTCACTGAGTACACTTCATGGGCTTTTTTTTCTTTCTCCTCTGCTCATTCTTTCTGCTGCTGCACAGTAGAAAGAGATCAGATTCTGAGGATGAGGAATTTGCTTACAAACAAAGCTGTACCATTGTTGCTAATCAACCAAGACCAAGTTTTGACTGGAACAGTAGCTGCAGAAGGGATCAGAATTATAAGCCAGCTGCTGAATATGTGGGAAGCTCATTGTCACAGATTGCAGAAGGAAAAATCTTGGAGTCTTCTGATCAGCCCAGGTTGATACTGCTGCATGAGATGTTCTCTTGATGCATCAAAAAGAAAAGGCTGGATATGCAACAGCTAAATGAAATTTGCCACGTCTTGTGATGCCATGCTTTTTTGGTTATTACTGTTTTGCTGGTTTGTTTGGTTTGGTTTTTTTTTTTCTCTTTTAAAGTAGCCATAAGTTGCTGGCCTTCTGAAACATGTAAATGTGAAAGTGTAACATGCTGCATAGGGTTACTGGCTTTGTGTGTGAGCATGTTAAGTGTGATGTTTCTGAGCAGGTTAGGATGTTGAGATACCTTTGTGTTGGCTGGCGTGGGCTGCGCTACAGTCAGTGGTGGTGAATGCCAAGTGGTGTCGTCATTCTGCTTGGGATACTGCAAGTCTAAACCAAATGTTTATTGCAATACATTGTGATCTGCTTGTCTCTTGCTAGTTAATGATATTTTTACTTCCCTCCTTTTGTTTTATATGCTTCAGTCAGTTTTCGTTACTTCAGGCCCTGCAAAAATACACTGACTATGTGTCTTCTGAAATGGAGACCAGAATTGATCCTGCTTCTGGCCCTAGGCTCATAAAATGTAGAAAGAATGTTTCCTTTATACCAGGAGGCAAGCAAGAAGATGAGGAAAATGGGTATCTATATCCAGATCTGGAAAACGATGATTTGTTTGTTCGGAAAACTGGGGCTTTCCATGTGAATCAAGTTGTTCTTCAAGACCCCCGGTATTTAAAGAAATTCTCTGAGCAGGAGCCTCCTGTAGAGGGTGAGATAATTCTGCAACCCAGAGAGGGCCAAACTGTGATTCCAGATTTGGAAAAGGATGACATGATTTTTCGTAAAGTCCTCTCTCAAAAAAAAGAGGTGCCTTTATCAGGTGCTCCCGATAAGTATCACCCAGCGCTGTTTCCCGATCCATGGAGTCTTCCAGAAGAGATCCGGTCCAAATTTTTATGTTTACTTGAAAAAAATGCGATACCAGAGGAAAGGAAGAGCAATGGCAGAGTGCTGTCACCATCTTTACATCATAAGAAGGATGATATGTTGACGCGCAAGATTGAATCTTGGAAAGTGGGAAGCAACGCCCAGCCAGTAAATTTTATCCCAGGTCCATGCAGTGAAGAAGACTGGAAGAAGTGGGAAGCAATCAGGGAAGCCAGCAAAGTTAGACACAAGAAACGGCAGATGGTGGAGAGGTCAGGTTGTGTCCTGCACAGATTGAGTGCCCTTGAACCCTTCCCATTCAAAAAAACATCATCCTGTGCTGAACCATTTGTAGAGTGCCAGTCTATTTGTTCGTGTCGTCCTCGAACAAGCTTTTTATTTGCTTTGAATAGAAGCTCCTGACTGCAATACCATATTTTCAACAAAATATTAGAAAGTTTTCTAGTTTTAGGCTGCCATTTTGGAGAAAATATGTTATCATTCCTTCAGGCTCAATGTTCTGCATAAGTTTCTTTCCATGGTTGAACAGGAATAGTTCAAAGACTATGGAGGCTAGAAATATTTTCTTCTATTCTGCAGGATAATACATAAAAGCATTTCTGAAAAACATGAATGCTTTAAAGACAAATTCTGGAAATGGGCATTCTGATATTCTTGCTTGCACCTAAGTTTAAAAATGCTTGTAAACTGTCCTGCCACAGTTCTGAGATTATTAGATGAGGTGAAAAAAAAAAAATGTTTTGCCTGCTCAAAGTCATGGTGCATGCAAGTTGTGTGTCTATATAATATTAAAGTCCACCATGGCATATTTTATTCTGCCAGTACTATCCTCCACTTTCATACAGTCTCTATTCATTCTTCCCCCTAATTCTTTTCTGGTATCCTCAAAATTTCTCTTGTCTGACTGAATACTATTTCTTAAGTACTTCCTAACTCTCCTTTGAATTTTGTATTTACTGGGGGAGAGTGGTGTTCTAAATGTTTATTTACCTCTGAAAATACGGCATTGCAAGTTGCAGATCTCCCAGCTGTGCATCATTATTTTGTGACTAAGACACTTCCGTGTTCCAGTTTATATTTTAATGTTGCTGCATTTAATTTTTAAGCTTCATACTGTTAACAAAGTTCAAGCTTCACTGAGAAATATTTCCGAAGTGCTTGGAAATAATGCATGTGTTTAAAATTCTTTCAGTAAAATTAAACAGGTATATTATTAAATACTCATATTCAAGAACACTAAAAATCATCTTGAATTGCCCTGGATTAATTGTGTTCAAGGATTAATGCACTGAACTTTTATATAGAGTCTTTCATTCTGGTACACATCAAGTATTACTTTTAGTTGGTATCAGAAATGGTTGAAGTAACAAGAGAACAACCTCTGTAAGCCACACTTTTTGTTGGGACTCAAACTGGCATTAATTTTAGTTTCTTCAAATGAGTCTCTTTTGAGCATCATGCTGTTCAGCAGCACTGGAATAAGTGGTGCAGAAATAACACAAGGCTGTATTTGTGCAGTATTGCTAAATAAAAAGTGTTGGAAACTTACAGGCAGCCTTGTTCTGACAGTTCTGCCCAACTTTGCCCATCATGCAAGTCCTGGTGTGTTTTTTGACTGGTGTCCAATTCCTGATGTGCTTTTCCATGCTGGCTGGTTCCCAAGCTTTCAGTTTCCCCATCACTTAGTGAGAGTGCTGGTCTACTAATGGTGTTAATGTTGTTATCAATATAAAGACACTGAATCTTTTCTTTTTTGGTTTCTGATTTCTCAGACTGTTTCAAAAGCTTTCTGATGAGCAAGGGTAAGTTTTATAAAAGCTTGAAAGATAGTAATGCTGTTTTTTTGGCCTCTTTTCATCTTTATGCATGCACAGTAGCTAAAAACTCATGCTGAAAACTTGTGCGTGATGCTTTGTTGTTCTTTGCAATTTATGTAATGAATGTGAGATAAAAGCTATGCATATAGCAAAAGTTCTCTCTGCTGTTTCTTGTATTCAAGTTAGGGTTATCAGGCACTTTGAAAGTCTGCTCTAATGTTTTATTTTCTGCTGAAGTAAAAAATTTGTTGTTCTGTATTTAAATTAGGCTTTAAAACATTCAAAAAGTGTAAAGGAATATTAATGAATATTTTATTTAGAAGGCTGTACAACTAGAATCTGAAAATAACTAACAGCAGTGGTATTTATCATGGGATTGGTGAATGGACTGGGGTTATTTTATGTCTTCCAAGCTATTGAATGCTCAGTGGTAAACTTATAGATTTCTATCATGGGAACTTAGATGTTGCTTATGATGAACTGTGACTCAAAGAGAAATAATTTTTCCACTTACTGTGGAATGGGATGTTTAGTATTTGGGAATGTATGGTGTTCTAATGATTTTTTTCAAAATATTTATTTATTTATTTATTTATTTATTTGCTTTCCTATTTTTACCCTGAGGTAAACCTGGTAAATGACTAAACACTTCCAGAAGTGTGAAATGTATCAGAAGAAGTTAGGTGCTAGGAGAGGGAGACTCAGAATTCTGACTCAAGTCACTAGTTAGGTTTTTCAGTTTAGACTGAAATTAAAACTAAGATCCAATTCCATGGTATGAATATACCTTTTCTTAGGTTATATTTGCTTTTGGTCAAGATTTTCCTGCTTTGTGCAGGCAGATATAGTAAATCAAGAGAAAGAAGTGGAAACTGTAGTTATGTAAATTTTCTTGAACTCATCTGGAATAAATTCGATGCATCTTTACGTAGTATTTGGTTATCCCAAAACAGTTCTATGTGTGATATAACGTAAGCATAAAAAATGAGGAAAAGAACTGTATGAGAAAACAGTTTCTGCAATAGGGACCATGGGATTTTTGCTAAATTTGGCACTATTCTCATTCAGAAAATAGATAAGCAAACAGAGACAATGAGTTAATGCCCAAGCCTTTATTTCTAGAGGCCAGAGGCCAGTCTTATGTTAGCAGTGAAAGTGAGTTCAGCCACTTGGAAGGAAGTGAGAGTCTGATTTGTTAGTTTAGAGATACCTTGCAATGCAACAGATTAGAGCAAGGCTTTGTGCTGAATCTGTTTTGCTTTTAATCTGATTTTCCATCCTATCAGAGAAGTGCCACATTTTCAAATCCTGCTGGAACTTAATTACATCCCTCTATATAACTCATACTTTGGATAAATGAAAACAAAGGTATTTTTGAATACTAAGAAACAAACAAAATAAAGAAACCCAAGTCCTAGAAACCTAGCTTTCCCTTTGCATTACAACATTTAACCTTATGATGAAACACCTGCATTTTGCTTTCTGTCTCAGAGGCTTGTGGTCAAATCTCATCAGGAGCCTTGTCTTGTGTCAAAATAAAATGTCCTGTTATGTTTATCACTGCATTGTGAAAGAATAAAGGCAAAAATAGCATGTGGTGGGAGAGAGCATGAAAGGTGAGCTTTGAGGAATTTAGGTTAAAGGGAACTAGCAAGTAGGAGTTGCTGGGGGAAACTGCAGCCGTGTTGAACAAGTTAGCAGGAAGATGGCTGTGTTAGTCATCCCAACTTTAATAAAAAATATCTCAGAGGCTTGGGGAGGATCAGCATGTGCTAGTGACATCCATGAACCAAGCATTTGGCTGTGTGTGACTCTTAAATCTTTTGGAAATTTGCATCTATAACTGATTTGGCAGGAAGGAAAGAACAGGAGGTGATATGGGGGTTGTTACAGGGGAGAAGTCCAAGAGTAGGAATTTGGGTTTGGGGATAGGGGATGCCTTTTGGGTGAAAGAAAGAAACAAGATCAATAAAGAGAATAGCAAGTTAAAATAGTAGTGTTCTGCGAGGAGCTCATGTGAATGATCAGCATGGAGATGTACAGAGCTGCTTATTCCCTTAACCTGATTGTAGTTGCTCAAATACCCAACTAATGACTTGAGTGTTGGCACTACAGCACATCCCAGTCTCTCCCATCAGCTGCCCATGTGTTTGCTGCTCCATTCAAAATAACACTTGTGAGCATTCAGTTGTACTAATATAAATCTTTCTCTCTCTCTGAAGGTTTCACTCATGTAAATGAGGGCTAGGATGTCATAAAGCTGTTAAAACCTCTTTTCCCTTTCTAGGAGTAAATCTTTGAATGATGTCAGTGCAGAGGAGCTGCAGACACTGCGCAAAATCCGGTATGAAGAGCTGCAGAAGATAAAAGAGCAGCTACAAGAACAAGATCTAAAGTGGCAGGAAGTAAGGACTCCTTTTCACCTATCCTTGTGCATCCTGCTTGAAGGGGCTGGATGTCACCTGCCTTCAGTGTCCATAGTAAAAAAGTTTCGGCATGTGTGCAGCAATTCATGGGGCTGTCTTCTAAAACAATTCATCTCATGCAGCTACTAGAGTTTTTGGGGATTTCTGTTTAATGCAGAACTGAAATTTTCTTAAATATTCTCCCTCCTAAGTTTCTGATTAATGCTTCGGGATAAGACTTATATGTATTGTAATAAAGCCTTCAGGCTTGATTTCTTTGGACATAAAGAGAAGTTAGGGCATAGCTTCTTGTGTTATCTGCAATTTTTGAATACTTTTTTTGAGAAATGATTGGAATGTCTGAGTATTTGATCCTCCGAGAGAAAGGGGAATAAATAATACGTCCGTGTGCAAATTCTTGAGGCTCCTATCCCCTAATAATGCTGTCTTAAATGCAGCTTGTAAACTGTATGATAGCTTTGCACAACATCATAAGCATATCTAAAGACTTTTGAATTTATTAAAATCTCTGCTTGACAGCTGAAATTAGAAACAAGAAACAAGAAGCTGAAATTAAGAACAAAGCACCAAATATGAAGTTCAAACTTGTTTGTTTAATGCATCTCAGTTCTAATATTCAGTACTTCCCTTAACTCAGCTTTGGTATTTCATGGACAATATTGCCAGTTCACATTGCAGTTTTACAGAAATTAAGAAACTACAGAAATAGCTGTTTTCAATTTGGAATTTAAGGCATATTTATTCTGAAGCTAGTGTATCGGTCTAACATAGTAATCATTTGGAAAAATAATGATATCCCAAACTCTAAAGCCCTCAACAAAGAAACACAGATGGCATTTGCATTAGTTTTCAATTATGTGTGATTGGGTGAAATATTTTAGAATAAAATTGAAAATGTTAAGGGGAGAAAAAATGGGCCAAATAGCATATAGTCCAGTAATTACAATTGTTAACTTAAGGAGGCAGTGAGTCTGCAACCCTAACTAGAACATGACAACCCATTTATCATTTAGGGGAAAGGTACATGAAAATGTAGCTGTGATGCAGACGTGCAACTAAAGTCAGGCCAATAAGTAACATGTAATGGCAGCCCCATTACATGCTAAGTATGCCTCTGTAAGTCTGTGAGGCCTTGAGAAAATCTGTTCATATGCATTCATGTTATTCTAAACAGGATCTAGCAAAATGGAAGAGTCGTAGAAAGAGTTACACTTCAGAATTGCAAAAGAAAAAGGAAGAGAGAGAAGAAATTGAAAGGAGAGCCTCTGAGGTGTCTGGAAGAAGTACCAAGTCGCTGAAGGAAATGGAACAGGAGAGGTAATAGTCCTAATGGGAGTATTATGTTTAAGAACATAAGTCTGAGCATTATTGTTCCTTTAAATTTTTGAGCCACTTTTACCAACAAGTTGCAATTGATTCTGCAGAGATCTTGACAATTTTAGTTGCAAAATAAAATGTACTAATCTAGGCAATTGAATATTGTTTTCTACAGTGCTGTTTGCACAGAATGTTAAACATTTTTCTCTATATTTTACTTTGCTATCCATAAATAAAATAATTGAGAAATCAACATTTGCATTCTCTTTAAATTAGTTAAAACAATAGCACTGAACTGGATAGCTGCCTTTTTTACTTATGAATAAAGTTAATTATCTTCCTTCTACCACCACTGCATTTGCTATTTTTTTAGCCACCATGGAGAACTACAGCCAGAATTTTAATGTATGTCACAGAGCTGTAAACTTTTACTTGATTTTCCCTTCATCCCTAATCTTTCCACTTGGTATATACTTTCTGAAAAGTAAAAAGTGTAATCTGCACAGTACCATCTTCAGTGGTGACAGTCTTATTTATCTATTTATTTATTTATTTATTTATTTCAAATGCACATATGACTGAGCAGAAGGTAATATGCACATGACATTCATTAAAAAAAATAAGTCTAATATTTTTGATTTTTAAATTTTTTTAGTTATTTGTGAGGATGAAAATTAGTTGCTTGAAAAAAGTATGGATGCTAATTGTATTGAATGTTCAGCATCAATAAGAATCCTATAAGTTATGTCTTAAAGATTATCCTTGTAGTGGTTGTTCATTTATGACAAAGGAACGAATTGCAAAAAAAAAAAAATTAGCTGAATTCCAGGGCATGTCTTATGTAGGTATCTAAAATTCAGCATTGCATTTCAGAAACATTGAGCACTGTTATACAGTTCAGGCAGTGTTATGGGATTATTTTATTCCTATTCTTTCCTGCATAAATCTGAATTTCTGAGGATGTGTAACTTGAATATATGTATGTCTGTATCATTTACAGCTATGTGTAGCTGTATCATTTTCTTGGCAAAGATTTCTGTCATGGTGGCAGCCTGATAATGTGATAGTAGTATGTCTGAATGCTATGAGAGTGCTGAACTGGGGAGGAAGTGGAAGAAGATGGATTAAAGAATATATGAAGATACTAATAATTTAAATTATGCTATTAATTTTCATTTACTGGAGATGTATTATTTGGCTTATGCTCTGCCTTAAGCATTTACTGGTTGAAAGACTTTAGGCCTGCCTGTTTGTTGGATCACTTTGGTATTTTAACAGGCTCTATTCCCATAGGGAAGAGAGAGATCAGGACTCCTATGAGCAGCAGAAACAGGAGCACAACTGGGCTTATTCACTGAACGATGATGTGTTCAGTGAAGAAAAAGCACCTTCCACAGCAGCAAAAGATTGGTCAGCAGCCAAAGATTACCGTTTGGAAGAAGATCGCTCCTACAGCGCCAAGGACAGTAAAAGCGTGTACGCCTCACAGCCGCCCAGGGAGAACCTGCCCGAGAGCTCGGCTGCTCAAGAAGCTCCTGTGCCTCCAGAGGGCCTGGAGCGGGAGCAGAGCCCGGCTCTTTTGTCCACTCGTTACTCAGTGAATGCTCAAACTGGGTCAGCTCAGGTTTCAGCTTCTCTCCCGAGAACTTACCAGAAAACTGATACCTCCAGGTTAACATCTGTGGTTACACCAAGACCTTTTGGTGTCCACTCAAGAGGAATCTCATCACTTCCACGGTCGTTCACGGTAAAATTCTCCTTCATTCCTGAAGTTTGTAAATTTAGCGTCTTTAATAGCTGGGGGAACAGTAGTTTTAATGTTTTGGTTTTATTTAAATAAGGGCCTCCTGTGTGATGAAGGTTGGGTTAATAGAGCAGGCAGTTCTGTCATGGCTTTTGATGTTTTCTTGTATTTTTGTGCTTAAACACACTCCTAGAATTAAAGCTGCTAACTAAATTGGGTAAAATACTCTTTTTATTACTTGTAGTAAGACTCGTTCGTGTGCTTTATCAAAAAACCTGTTGTTGGAGGTAATTTTTTGGAGCCAGGTTAACATAGTTAAGTGTTAAAGATAAATTTTTCAGGTGAAAAAGTTTCCTCTGCTTTGCTGACTTTGTTGAAATGTCAACTAGGCTAAATTTTTTCTACATTCTAAAGCACTGAAACAATGAAATTGATTCCCCTCTGTCCCATTACTGTGATGATTTTCATAATTTTCTCCTAAATCCTTATTTGCTTTAATTTAAAAAATGGTAAGAATGTAAATAATTCTAAACAGATGACTTTAACAAGTTTATCATAAAAAGTCTGGACTATTTGTTCTGCAAGTATTTCAAGAGAAAAAAATATTTTTTTTCTAAGCAGGTAGTTAACAATGGGTACAGGAACTGGAATTTGCTTCAAAGGGGGGAGGTGGTTTTGCTAAATATAAAAAGCAGTGAAAGAGTCAAGGATTTCTTTCTTTAAAACACTTATTTACCAAGCTAACATTTTTGTCCTAGATGGATGATGCTCAGAAATACAATGGAGAAGTAGAAAAAGCTAAAAGAACTCAAACTTTGTTCACCAGCATTTCCTTTTCACAACCAGACTCCACACACCCTCTCTCCACTGGTGCATTCAGAAGCAGAGGTGAGGAGGAAGAGGAGGAAAAAGGTGTTCAGTCAACACCTCCTCCTAGTTTGGCATTACCTTTAAAGTTCCAAGATCAAGATGCTGGAAGTAGTATTCCTAGGCCAGAGTATGGCATTCCTCCTGATTCTCTTTCACTTGCATCTTCTGCAGAAATTGCAAGTCTGACAGAGCCTAAGGATTCAAAATCCATGGTAAGTGTGGTAATAATGTGATTATTTGGTGTAACTGAATGCCACAGCAGAATAAAAGAGAAAATAACTAAAAGTAAATTTAATGCAAGTATTTTTCTGGTAGCAAGTGTATATCTCAGAGATTTGCTATTTCCTTTGACTTAATTCAGGAGAAAGAGAGTATTTGGGGAAGAAAAAAATTATTCTTTTGCTATCCATTTTGTCATGTGCTTAATTCTATTTATCACTCTAATTCAGAATAGTTATTCTACATGATTGCAAAGTTTGTTTGCTGTTCTCCAAATGAGCACACTGTCCATATAATCAGGTGTGGCAGATGAATTATCTGAGCTGCTGTAGCATTCATTTGCACTTTTAAACTGGTGGTGGAAAATAAAGATCAGCTTTTCAAAGGCTGGCCATAAACATAAGTATCACACTATCCTTTTTTCCATCTGTTGTGACTTGGACCTTTTTTATTTAGCTATTTACTAGAATCAAATTAATGTTCATGTTAATTTTGAAGTAAATTGCTGTCTCTTTGTACATATGCTTTTTGGACAAGGGGCTGGGTCTTTCAGTGATCTTTTTGAAATATGTATCTTAAGTGCTGTTTCCTCCAATTGATTGCATGTTTCACCAACAATAGCTTTAATTTTTGATACCTTTCTGTACTATCTGATGATTCAATTCATAACACTAGACAGATTTGCAGTCCTGATCCTGCTGTAAAACTTAATTGTGCCAGTTGCTTGGGTGAAGGTCGTAAGACTTTGGATGCTGACTTATGAAATCACTTCCCATACTATCGTTTTGAAATTCATTTGCTTCCAAACATTCTTCTTCCTAATTACTTGTGGAAAAGAAATACATTGCAGTGTAAATACCCTTGATTGCCTTTTGGCCATTGTAATGAACTTATCATAATTCTTTGAAACTGTGATTGCTGTATTAGGAAAGAGATCATGATCTTTTTTTTTTTTTCCCTGTGTTGTAGCAAAAACAGGCAGAGGAATTTCTGTTTTAATCAGTGAAAACTGACAGATTTGATATGAGTTCTTAGTATCTGTTTAAGCAATGCAAATGAGAATAGCACGTACTATGTCCATTTGGTTTTGTCCTGTCAGTTAAAAGATTAAATTCTTCCTCTTACAAGTGAATAATATGGGCGTATTTTTAAAAGTTAAAAAAAAAAATATCCCCAGTTGTGTTATGTAAGTTAACAAGCTCCAAGTTGAGGAATGCAAGTCCCAGTTGATGTGTTTGTAAATCATTGCCAGAGAGATTGATATAGTTCAGAAGTCATCAGGGCCATAATTCCAGGTTTGGAGCACTGTTTTAGAGATGACCTATAAAAATGCTAAAGTTCAGAGTACAAAGTCACATTACTTCTCTGACAAGAGATAGATCTGAAGAATCATGTTGGGATGGTGGAAAAAAAAATTAAGACCAGTAGTAACTTCCATGAACACACTCAAACTCTAAAAGTTTGTATGTTCTTTAGCCCAGTGTGCTAATCTATTTAGTAGATTCAGGTTTAATATACTCACCTAAGGACTTGGGTTGTACGGGAGCATTTGCAAGCCAGTAGCTGTGTTGTGAAGAAAAGAATTAATTTCTACCCTGGGCTGTAACAAGGAGTGTTTTCCTAGGAACATTCCTGTAACATGAGGCAATACCTTGGGATGATGCCGTGCCGTGTTGTTTTCTTCTCTATCCAGTACTCAGGTGCTGCTGAAGCCACCTCTGGCTGCACCTCCCTGAGCCTCCAGCTGGCTGCACCTGCTTCTGCAGTGCTCCCTGTAACTGCCTGTTACATCTTACAACGCAGGAGCTTGGAGGAATTGGCATAGGTTTCTAGACTTTTAAATATTTTAAGTTAGGGAAAATGAATCCGACTCTTCAGGAAGGCTGGGTCGCTGGGGAACTAATATGTAGGTGTACATTTAATGCACGTGCAGGGTCCCTTCCATACACATTTTTCTGGAATATGTCTATCTTAACATTGTTTGACAGAAAAACGTATTTTTTTTTTTCCTTTTACATCGATGTCAATGTCATGCTGATGAAGTGCATAGCATGTGTTTGGGTATTTTAGTAGTTTTTAATGAGCTCACCTTAGAATGTTAATGTATGCAGCACATGCTCCTAATATAGCGTGGGATTGAAAGTGAGTGTTACAAAATGTTTTCCCATTCAGATAATCTTGTTGTTTAAAATGGTGATGTTAGATTTTGATTCAGATTTTGAAAGCATCCTGAATGTCCATTAAAATCAAATATCTGAATTTAGCTGAATTGGGGATTATTTTTATTATCTAAGGCTTCTATTACAAAATCCATAGCAAGCTGATAGTATTTCACACAAAATCAAGAAGATGATTGTGCACCCAAGTAAACCTAGTTGCAGCATGAGCAAAAACTGAAGATTTTTATTGTAGGACAAGAAAAAAAAAAAAAAAAAAAAAGATTGACTATGGTTATCTAGCTTTTTCACATCTCTGATGCTCTCTGAGGAGGCAGTACCTGTGACAAATTCACAAGACAGTCCACGAAGAATCATTTAGGGATTTAATTCCCTCCAAGTTCTTAAATTTTTTAGCATTGTGTTGCAAAACATTTAAAGTAACAGAAATGCAGAGTGAGAAATACGTGTAGAGAAAATATAAATGTAAACTGAAAACACATCTGTTGGAAGAAAAAGCAAATTAGTTAACTGACTTCAGTACTGTTTCCTTTGTCTGTGATGCTAATAATAGATGATTAAAGTGCACATTGTGAGCAGCCTCACTTATTTAGAGGATAAACTTTCCCTCATTTAGATTCCTGTGATACCAGATACTCTAGTGTCATGTTTTATTTTTCAGGAACAGTACAGTGAAATGAGAATCAGTATAAACCAGAGACCTGGCCACAGTCGCAGCTTTGGGTTTACGACAAACTGGAGTTCTTCAGGAGCCATTGTACAGACAGTTGAAGAAGGTAAATGTATACATATATATATACACAAATTTTTGTTCTTATGTTTTGTTGGTAGATGCTTCTAAGTTAAGGCATTTGCTGATAAGAATGCTGCAAACATTTTAAAACATCAGGTGTAGAACTGAAAAATCATTATTTCATTTGCTAATATATTTCTGTGACTCCTCATCTCTTGAAACAGGTTGAATTCAGAAATGCCAAAATGCATTTTCCTAATCAAGGAGGGTATAAACATGAATATTTGTTCATAGAGCCTCTTACAGAACAGTATTTAGGGGCAAATACAGATTTCCAATATCCAGACTGTTTCTTTCAGCTTTCACTTCACATGGTTTGTAAACACATGCAGAGGAAACTTAGGAGTTAATACTCTTTGTTCAATTTCTTCTTTCTTAGTCGTGCTCATATTCTTAAGTAGTTGCAACTTCTAAATTTATTTCCACTGCAGTTTTTTCAGTTGTTTTAATACTGAGGGAAAGCAAACATTTTTGTCTTGAGATTATACATATATAAAGTTTATTTCTAACCTCTAATAGTCTTCTGCAGAAAACTAGCTTGATTTTCTTAAAAAAAAGGCAACAAAACAACTAAAACCTAAGCAAATATATATGCTTGTTTTCTAAACAATGGTCTTCCTCATTGCCAGTAATACTTGAGGAATATTGAATTGTGCCCTTCTTCCCACCTAACACAAGATCATCCTGAGAAAGGAAAAATAACTGGAAAATTTTAATTTAGTTAGCCCAGTATTATGCTTTCCAGAGAGGAAACAATACTGTTTAATAACAGTTAACAAGCAGTCTTGGGTTTATTATTTTCTTTTATAAATTCAAGAAGTGAAATGAAAAAGTACTCTCTGAGTACTTTTCATAATTAGATTTGCTCTAGGATAACCCTCCTTGAGCAGGGAGGATGGACCAGATGAACCACTTGTGTTTCCTTCCAACCTGTTTCATTCTGTGATTCTGGAAATACTAATATTCACTTTGTCCAAATAATTGTTTTTCCTGCTGTTAGGCTTTGGGTTTAATTTCCTTCCTTGGAGGCAGGGGTCTGTCCATTTGCACTGCCAGCTGAAAAGGAGAAATCTGAGGGTAGGGAATATTCCTGCTGGTCATTCACAAAGATCCACATGAGCTCTGTTCCAAGGAGAAGATGAAGGCTTCATGGTTGTTATCTTCATGCTTTATTGCCATTCTCACAAGGAAGAGCACAAAGTATAGACTGAACTGAGAATGGAGTGTATCTCAGGGTTCTCATTTGTAGCCTGTGTTCAGCACTTTTTTCTTCCAACAACTGTCTCATCTTGTATCCTTACTCAATAGCTGTAGCTCCCTTTGAAGAAATGAAGGATGAAAGAGGTGGATGACCCATTGAAAGACCAATACATGCTTTCAGCTAGGCACTTGGAAATGTTGTATTTCCTATTTTTAAGGATAAGTCATAGGATAATTCAGGTTGGAAGATCACCTAGAGTAATACACTGCTCAAAAAAATGTCAAGATGGAATTCAGGCCAAGTGGCCTAGGGCTTTTACCCATGGGGGTTTGAGACCCTCTGAAGATGGAACCCGCACAGCCTCTCTGAGCATTATCCTTTCTGAGAAAATTTTCCATACGTATCCAGTCAGACAGATCTTTTTAATTGTTTATAACCACTGTTCTATGTTTTCCTGCCATAAATTTCAATAAAAGAGCAGACTTTCCCTTCTCAGGGACCTCCTGGTAGGTACCAGGGTGGGGCTACTGTTAGGTTCTTCTGCAGCCTCTCTTCTCTGGACTAAACAAACCCATACTCTTCAGCCTTTCCTCATGGGTCGATTGCTCCAACCCTAACCATTCCAGTACCTTCCCATTTAGCTTGCCCCAGTTTATTGATGGTGTTCTTACAGAGGAACACCAAAACTGGACACAGTATTGTCAGTGTGTCCAGCATAAAAGGTGCTGAGTAAATTGAATGGTCACTTGTCTTGATTTGTTGGTCATGTTAGTGTTCATACAGCCCCACCACTGCCAGGGCACCCCCAGCCTTGCTCTCCAGTCTATCAATGCCCAGCCTGTACCATCACTGGGATTAGTCCTTTTCAGGAACAGGACCCTGCATGGCCTTGTTGAGCATCAGGTTCCTGCTCTCAAGAGCAGCCCTGCCCTCCAGTGTATTGGCCACCCTCTCACTTTTGGCAGGGCTTGAAAACTTCATGAAGGTGTGTTTAACATCCTTCTCCTGCTTATTGGTGAGCATGTTAATGAGGGTAGGTCCCTGGATACATCCTGATGAGATCCACTTTTATGCAGCCCACAGGCTGAGTAAGAGCCATTAACCACTTCCCACAGAGCCTGACAGCCCAGCCAGTTTTTCATCATCTGGTCGTTCTGCCCTGTGGACAATACCATCCCACTTCTGATACCAGGATACTGTGGAATATCATGTCAATAGTCTGCCATCCACAGAGATCTAGTCAATTCATCATTGAAGATAACCAGGTTGGTCAAGTGTGATTTAGGCTTGGCAAATCCAAACCAACCATTCTAGTCACCTTTTTCTCTTTCTTGAGCCCACAAAAAGCTTCCAGGAAGACGTTCTCTGATTGTGTTGTCTTCCTAACTAGCTGTATGATTTTCTTGAGATAATACCCAGCATGTATATTTTTTACTACTTATAGATGACTCTGTTTTCTACATATGCTGTTCCTTAAAAAAATCTGCTAAGAAAACTACTTGGTAAGCAACATTAATTTATAAGTGTTCTCAAAAACCTAAGAGTTAATCTTGTAACACAGTGAGACCCATTTACTACATATAAAAAAGGACAGTTCTCATTTTTAAAGGAGTTTTAAACCTTTACACAAAAAATTAGTTAAATAGAAAGCCTTAAATCATTAATCTAGACATTAGTTCTGCTAATTTCCCCAGTGCCATATAATCTTTATTATTTCAGTTCTTCCCTTTCACTTTCCTTTTGAAATAATTTTTTGGAGATTGTGTTGCTATAGGAGTGCATATCTGATCAAACACTTGCAGTCATGTAAAACATCCACATCCTTCAAGGTTTTTTTTTTCTATCATTGAGATAGTGTTTATCAATTGTAATAACAACAAATGGGGATAGGTTAGAGATAACTTAGAACATACGGAAAATGAGTATTTGGTTAGTTTTGTTTTTACTGGGGACTAGTAAGAAAGAAAAGCTTTTTACCTTCAGGGAAACCTATGAAAAACATAAAAACAGTACATATGTTATATAATGAAAACTAAATCCTCTATAGGAATATAAAGAAGTTATTGTTAATTCCTATAGTCATGGGGGAGCTGTACAGAGAAAGACAGCTGGTAGCATACAACTTTTGGCACCTTAATTTCTGGCCAGGCTCTTTGGGCTTCTCTGGATGTGAATCAGAGCAGAAGCCCATTGTCGGCATCCTGGTTTTCACTCTTGAGAAGCAATTTTGTCCAGAGACTATGGAGGAAGAGCTGCTGACAAAGTTACAGGCCAAAAATTGAGCGGTGGAAGTTGTTCTGGCTATTTTAGGTCCAGATCTAGAAACTGCTGCTGTTCATTCAATCTGTATGGTTGGATTATGGTCTGGGATATGCCTTTCTACTGATAGTATAGGAAGAACTGTGCAATCTTCAGCTTCCTTCCTTTTCTAAAACTGAGTCGAGATATACTGTTCACACCTCTGAGCCCAGTCTCATCCCTGAGAAATTATTTTAATAAAATGAACATAACCTTTTTTTGGTTACTGGGGACTTATTCTGTCACAACTCAAGACAGAAATTTTGAGTTCTAATGACTCTGCTGGAGCCTGAAGCTTTCCCTGGTATCATGAGCATAAAACTTTGTCCAGATGTGGTTAAACTATATGGTACTAAATATCAGACATGACTCCAAATGGTAAATGGTGTTGTTGAAACTAGTAACTTCAGTATTAGTATTTTTGATAGTATTCTTAATAGTACCTTCCATAACAGACTTGACAATCCATGATTCTTTAACATCTTCCTGACTCCTGGAGATGCATGGGTTTTTTCCGGTCAAACTATTGTCCACGTTTCTTCCTCCAGGTGAAAACCCTAACTTTTCTTCTATAATACTGATGAAAAGCAATTAGTGCTGATAACTGCAAATGAAGTTTTTTGTCTGTATTTTAAGAATGATGCAGAAAGGTATAATATGGAGCCATATTCTTCTAGCAGAGAAGATAGTGTAGCTTTTTAGTGAACTATAATGAATTATTATTTGGTGCAGTACTAGGAAGCATGGCATTTCTTAAATTCTTAACTTCCTTGTGTGTGCAGCCATCTGAGTCCCTATTGGATGAGCCAGACTTAAAGCAGCATTTTGCTAATGAGTCAAAAGACACTCAGGATGAAGCATATGGTATCTAAATTTTTCTGTCGTACTTGTCCACATTTGTTTCTGATAATGTAATAGGACATTGTTCTTGCTATATTTTAAGTAAGATGTGTGGATTTTGCTACTTTGGAAAATCCTTCCATCCTTCCTTCTCAAACTTGTTTTATTAACATGAGGGTTTATTGTGCAATCCTTAACTATATTTTTACTTGGCTTTTCTATCTTCTATCCTGCTAAGGGAATAATTCTTAATGGAAGAACCATTCTTATGTAATCTGTAAAATCTTGCTTGGAGAGTGCGAGTTTCTCAGCTCATCCATTTTCTGAATTAAACAGAGAAAAAGTTCATGAACTGGTCTTATATGTACTCTGTTCTTAGTCTAGTGAGATTGCCTGCCAATCTGTAGCAGATGAGAAAAGTATAAAGTGCAGCTTGTCTTGCAAAATATCAGTAGATTCAAAGTCCAACTTGCCATAAAGTTTGCTCTTAATAGATAAAATAAGTGGAATCCAGAGAAGTCTAGTGGGACAGTACCCAGCAATATCTTTAGTCCAATTACCAAGCAATTCAGAGCTAACAAGCTATTCTAGCAAAGCAATAAAGCAGCATGCTCTTGTCAGCAGAACTCAGCAAATGTAAATGAGAATAGGAGAAAGTCAGCTTCTACTGGACTTAACAAAGTGCAGGCTGGGTTTTTTTTTTTTTGTTTTTTTTTTTTTTTTTTTTTTTGTGACAAGAGGATTACCCAAACATTGGCTGAATTTCAGCTAATCGTTGGATATAGACATTGTGGTGCTGCCTCTCTCTCACTATCACAGATTATAAAGGCGAGTTAGTGAAGGGAAGACTGAACACAGAAGTTGTTTATTAAATGGGCTAGCCATAATCTGAAGATTTACAAATCCAGAAGACTGATTCCTTTATTGTTCCCCTAAGTTCTAAACTGAAAAACTACTTTGATACTGAGTTTACTGAGCTTATGTTACAGTGTAGTGAATTTTTCTAAAACTTTCTAAATATCCACTGTTAAGCATTTCTTTGAATGATTCCCCAGTCCACTCTGTTCCAATCACATCTGTGATAAAAAGTATGAATGGAGACATAATAACATTTTTCTTCTGTTTTCTGCAGGCAGCCCTGCAGCACTTTGTCAGCTGCATGTAGACGATGAGATCATTGCTGTCAACGGCACAAAGGTTTCACATATGGACTACAGTCAGTGGGAAGAAGCCATCAGCAGAGCACTAGAAACTGGAAACCTGGTCATGGATGTCAGACGATATGGAAAGAATGGTGAGTTGTTTCGTCAGGCAGATACTGTATGCTCTGTAAGGCAAATAAGCTTTGTCTCTGCTGTACCTGACAGCTGAGAGTCCTTATTACCCTTACAGCAGTAATACGTATCTAAGCTAAGTAGTTTGTCAACGTGTCTGTTGCATTTTAACACAACTTGGCTTTTTTAACAGCATGAGCATTAGAAATGTCTTGACTAGCAAATCTGCAAAACATTGAACTACTGACCTCACTCTTGTGCTCTGGCTTGTTTCTTAGAGGATGGACAGGTAAAAAAATGTGTAGCCAGCACAAAAAGGAATCTAACATTTTCTTCCCTGCCATACCACAAGAATTAAGAGGGTCTGATCTCTAGAGGGTCTGATCACTAATTTTTAAAGGCCCCTTCTCTCAATCACCAGCTCCCTTTCTTCAGGGAAGGAGGATCCTTTGTTCCTTTCTTCAGGGAGCATTTGAAGTGAGGTATGAGCCTGTGGGTGATGTAACACCTATGTGTTATGATTCTGGCCAGTGACCCAAATATTATGGTGCTGTAATCTCTCCAGAATGGTACTAACCATTCTGGGTAGGGAGGGTTTCCTTGCTGGCTGGACAGCCTTGTAGCATGTCTTGACTTGCCATGGTTTTAATCAGGAAACCCTTTCAAAGTTCTAGAAGAATTTTTGCAGAGTTTGAAGTGTGACCAGTGACTTCTTTCACAGTATAAATACAAAACATTCTTTTAGTGGGAAGCTAGGTAAATAAGTTACCAGCAAACTGGGGTAAAAACAATGGGGTTAGGAAAAGACAAGAAGCAAATCACTTTATAGGATGTAATACAACTGAAGAGTGAGATTAGTGGCAAAAAACTAATTGAATAAAATTTTCAGTAGAGAGGGGAGAAAGGGTGGCATATGTGAGAAGTGTATTATTTGTCTATGCCTCATCAATTTGCCAGTTTAGTTTAGGCTGCCTTTTCTTCCCCCTCTCTGTGCTTCCTGATGAGCATGGACATGAAAGTGACCCTTCTCTGGATAATGTATGAGTCTCATTGTACCTGGAGTGAGTAAAGTCAGAAGAATTTTCTCAATCCTTACTAACACTAATGATATAGTTTACAATGAATGGTAACTCCTCTCTAATGTTCAGCTGCTGTAGCACATATAAGCAGAACATCTCTTGTTTTGGCAAACTTTTATCTGGCTTATGACTAACAGTTGCATTTTTGGGGAAGGCGGTCTGCTCTAAATGTCCTTTTTCCCTGTCTTCACAAATTCCACCTGATTTGTGTGTCTCCTTCTTCTGTTTTTGTATTATTTTAATGTTTTCACTAGCTCTTGTTCCATTCTTTGATGTAACTGTCTATATTAATTTCTTGATCCTCCACATACCAAAAAGATTGGGGCAAAGACCTGCCTTCCCTGCCACATGTAAGGCATAAAATCCTCAATCTCACCAGTATGGCTACCAACATTATAGGTACATCTGAAAATAAATGGATTGATGCAACTTCAGGAGAAAAAATTTCAAATGCTTCCACCACATCCACAAAAAGAGATTTCTCCAGCAGCCTTCAGAGTTCTGTGAGTATAGTTTTGAAGGTTCATGGGAGATGGGGGGAGGAAGAAAAAATGTTATGTCTTGATAGTGGGAGAATGGAGAAAAGAACTTGTAAATCTTCTGTTCCTTAAACAATACAAGTACAAGTATCTGTATCTGAAATACGGAGATGTAGCTATGTATGTATCAAAGTAAGTAAGATGTTTTAAAGACTTGCTACTGTCTATTCATGAGAGAACACTGGTGAATGATAAATATTAAAACACATGCAGACTATCTTTTGACTAAAACTATATATACAGTGTTTATTCTTCAGAGAAGACTTTGACCTGAATTATTAGCCTAAATGGAAGTTGCAACCCCAAAGAACAGGTGCATGTGTGCTTTCAAATTACTCATAAATAAAAACCTGCCTGCCAAGGAGCTGAAATGGGAAGGTCTTGGCTTCTGGAATTTTCTTGCAAACTAATGTGTTTTATTTCTGCAGCAGTTCACAGCTGGTTATTGATTCTTTCAAATGTATACAGTACCTTTATTATAAATTACACTGAGGAAGTTTTCGATTGTTTTGTATCCTTTTATAATATATTATGAAGTGTTTTGTATAACATACAGTTCCTGATAGGAGAGATGCATAGTTGGATAAACTTCCACAAATCAAATGAGCCTAAGAAATTTATTTATTTGTTTGTTTGTTTATTTCAGGATACAGAAACAAAATTGATAAATGGAATGCAAGGAGATGCTGGCTCTAATGAACAAAGAGGTAAACCACTGTTGCTTTTCATCTGCTAATTGTGTGGCTTGCAACAAGCATAGACAGTAAACCTGCAATGACTGGAAGAGTTATACAGTGGGTGAAGTGAGACCTTAACGAACCAAAAGCCAGACAGATATCACAGAGATCTTGTTGCATCCAAACTGAGTTTACCTTGCTTCCACAGTTTGCTAAGCAGTTTGAGAGCTGATAACAAAGCTGCAACAAAGCCCCCTGTCTCTTCATTAGTGGTTATAAATTTAATGTGTGGTAGGGGTGAAAGAGAAGAGGGCACACAATTTATTGTAATTGCTACTGCATTGTATGGAGACCGAGCTTGTAGGTGTATTATTTCACTGCCCAGGAAGAGTGTAGAGTACTCAACGTATTACTATTTTTTTCCTGACTCTTTCAGTTGTAAGGTTTTGGGGTTGGTGGCTGTTTTCATTATTATTACTTTACTTTTATTCCTGGAGAACAATATTGATGATACTGATATGAATAAGAATTGCATATGAGGCTATGAGAAGTTATAGCCTTACTTGACAGTAATGAGAGAAAACAGGTATATATACTTCCTAACGGAATAATAATCCTTGAATAGGAGCTTTGTATTTCATTTTAGCTTGAATACACATGAAAATTCATAGAAAAATTACCCCAAGATATAACTTGCCCTCTGGAAATGTTTTCTGGTGGCCTTGAATGGTCATTAGTCTCCTCATTCCATTTTGGAATCTTAGTCAAGGATGGTTAAATTAGACAGGGAGAATCTGAGTCCGAGTTTGACGCTTGCTCTTTTTATAATAGTTGGACATTGTTACTGATGAAATGAAATCCTAATTAGAGTATGATGTAACCTCCTAAGGTTTTCCTTTGTGTTTCAGGGGCTTTTTGTTTTTCAGAAGTGATGTTGCAGTGTATGGGAGGTTTAACAGAAGTTTCTTATCCAGTGGCTATAATAATTTTAAAAAAAAAGGCACCTCATTGACTTGTTTGTATTCTCTGTATTTTTCAAATAGCATCTGAGCCTATTTCTTTGAAAAACTTAAAAAGGCGGTCACAATTTTTTGAACAAGGTAAATCAAATAGCTAACATTTCATGTACTTCCATGAAATTGTTCCTGCTGCACACTCTCCCTAACAAGTCTGGTGCTGGGTGCTCTACCTCTTCAGTGTTGTTTCTACAGTTACAATGAAGCAACATAATTAATTTCCCTTCTTTCCCCAGGGTCATCAGGTTATTCTTACAATTCATGGGTCTACCTTTGTGGTAATGGGTCTTTGCGTGTTCTCTTATATCTATAGCTGTTTAAATCTTTTCTGTGTCGTTCATACTTTTTTTTTTCCCCACTGGGTAAAAGTAAGAAGGGTGGCACTCTTTGTTCAGGTTTGCTACTACCTACAAAACAAGAATAATGGTGAATATTCCAGCAGGGTTTTAGAGAAGATCTTGGAGCTGTTGATGAAGTATTTAACTCTGGATTTGAGTTTGAGTTGCAGCTCTGTTCTTTTACATAAATTGGTATAAAAAGGCATCTGCTGGCTTTCCACTATGTGGCTTTCCACTATGTGGTGATGTCATAAGATCCCAAGAAGACCAATATAAATTTTGAATTTAATATGCTAGCATTTTTGGAAAAGGCAATGAATGAGGCACTCAATTTTGGTTTTGTAGGTTGCTTTTCAGCATTTTGCATGTCACAGCTCACATACTTCCACTAATGTTGTATGTCTTATGCTGTCTTCGGACTATGTATGCCTTGCTGTTTTGCTGGAGCCTGAAAGAGTGAAATTCTGGCCTGCTGGAAGCTCAGTTGAGTTTTTCCAAATATTTGAGTGGGGCCAGGATTTTACTTTTAGAGGTGATAATTTCTGGTTTTTTCCAGAAACGGTATGTGAAGTGCCACAGCATATATCTGTGTTCATGGTTCTGTTTGCTTTTAAATACTTCTGCTGTATCTGCAATACTGTATCTGCAATATGGTGGTATTTTGTTGGTGTTGGGGTTTTGTTGTTGTTGTTTGATTTTCATTTTATGGCTGGCAGAAATTTGTTTTTTCTTTGAATTGTTTTTTTTATAACAATATTTGAGGTATTTCACTTGTGCTTGAGGGGGAGGACATGGTTGTATTTCTAGAGTGCATGTTCAGTAAAGCTCGTTAATTTTAAATTTTTGACACTTTAGCTTTGCAATTACATGAAGATTCCTGTGGAGCTCAGCATAAGCTTACAGGGGTGAGAGAAGAGGGGAGCAAAAAAGGTCTATGCTTCCCTTTAATATCTCCTGACACAACTGTAATAGATTAAGCTGATTGCCTGATTTTCACTGTGGCTGCTGTAATCTGACAGTGACAACAAAATTGTGTATATATACAATGGATGCTTACCTGTGACTCATTAGAGTCTTTTGTATCCTAAATATAAACTTTTTTCCACTTCATGTGATTATACTTCAGAATAGTGTTGCAATTTTTTTCTTGTATGCTTTTTTAAAAAACTGAAATATGGACAGCTAAGTAACAAGTACACTGTCAACAAACAAAAATAGTGATGGTGCTTAAGAAATTATTATATTTAAATTTGTGTTTCTCCCCATTTTCTCAGTTTTTAATAAATTAGCATAATACACATCTCTAATCATCTTGTCACCGGATGACAAGGCCAAGTGTGGTAGCCTCAAATAGCAAATGGTTTGTGGTGAATGGTGACCAGTTCACTGAATTCAAGTGTGCTTTTGGAAGTAGGAAAGAAGCCAAGTTGGAGAGCAGAAATACATGGTTTTGTGGTAGAGAAGTGGCCAGTAGACATCAGTTGCTCTTAATTCATGCCAAGGACCGTAGATGAACAGCTTCTCTACCCTTGTGCAGTGTTCTGGGTATTGGTCATGCTAAACAGTTGGGTTTCACAACTAGTAATAATAGGAGAGGTATAGTAAAGAACCTTTGTTTTGCTACAGTGGAAGGTATACTGCTAATTCAAGCAATTGCTGATGGCACTTGTAAGCATGCAAAGCTTTGAAACAATTGTGCACATTAGTTGAAAGCACCTAATAAATTCCACCCTCGAGAAAGTTCAGCAGGGCAAATGCAAGCATGCCTCACTAAGGAAGAAAAAATTAGTCTGAAACTCAGACTTGCCACAGTTACACAAGTCTTGCAGTAGTTATATATGGATCTAATAATTTCTCTTTTTTGTCTTCCAAATCTCCCAGGAGGCCCAGAGCCTGCAATGCCTGATGTAAGTACTATTTGTGAACTACTAGTTGGTTATATAATACTAGTCTGTCCAAAAAGCTCTCTGCTTTCTATTACTTCTTATACTGCTTTACAATTTTGATCAAATCTGAGAGTACTGGCTAAAATTTGCTTTGTCAAGGCATGGTTGCTTTCTGTCCATTCAAAGAAAAAGGTAATTTATGTCCTTGTCACTATAAAGCTCTAGCATTGGTAATGGTTTCTATTTCTCACTCTAAAAAAAAAATGTTTTAAAATGTAGAGTGTTGATTACATGGAAAGAAGATAATACAAGTTCATTTCTGTGTTATATTAGCTCCCAGTCCCATCCATCAGCGCTCCCAGTCGTCGGGTTTGGGATCAAGAGGAAGAGCGAAAACGACAGGAAAAATGGCAAAAAGAGCAGGACCGTTTGTTGCAGGTATAATTAATCTTCATAATCGTGGGCTGTCAATCCCCTGTGTGTAGCAACAAGGAAGGTAGCACATGACTTCTGCAGTTATTCTTACTGATGGCCTGGGGAGACTCTTAGGTCATTTTCTGGCCTGCACAGTTGCACACAGTAGGAGTTACTCAGAAAAAAGAGGACAATCCTTTAGTGAGCATCATAAAATTAAACACAATGTGTATTCATTACAGCCAGAAGTGCTCAATCTTCTGGGACTGCCGGTGTGTTCTTAATGACAACAGAATTTAAAGGATAAGTGAAGATCTAAGGGGTCTTCCTTTTTGAAAAGGAATTGTATTCTTTCCCCTTAAGGAAACTGCCTCTGGCCTGAGTATTACCTTCAATTAGCAATACTGCCTCTCATATATGTAGAGGAGGCAGCCAGTACCTGCCTGCTAGCAATCAGCTAATCAGTTGGAATAACCTGGTTCCCAGGACCTCTGAGTCAGGAAGCTGAATCTGCTAATGCAAAACCACTTGATAACCAGTAGCTACAGCTGGAGAGGGATGTGGCAGAGGGAAGGGGCATTGTTTGAAGTCTTAGGATAGCACAAAAAAGCCAAGCATACATTTCTGCAAAGAGCTCACCTCAGTGAAGTGTAAGCACATTCAATCATGTTCACCAAGACACATCTCTGCAAATTAAATTAAAGTTTGTTGTCTGAAGTCTGATGGCTAGGAGAGATATCAGTGAATATATCATTTATTCTGCGCAAGCCCTCTTTGGCTGTATTCAGCAGAAAACTGTGATGTCAAAGTACAAGAATAGAATCTGTTTTGCTTTTTGAATGTTTCATCTTTTGTTTTTCCTTGTAGCTTGCAAACTCTGCAAGGCAGCAGCTGTACCTTCCTGAACTTACCTGTGGTCTCTGTTATAGTTTGGATATTCCATTTGATACCTGAAGAGATGGCTTTAAAGAGTGTAAACCTTGGCTCTCCTTTCTTGAGAGCTGACTCAGCCATCTGCCATCACTTTTCTTTGTTTCACCTTTTTTAGTCCTGAAGTGATAAATTTGACCAGAGTAATAATGATCTTTCCCTTCCCCATGATCATAGTAATGAATTTTCAAATAACAAAAAAAAGAAGCAAAGTCTTTCTTTGCTTACTTTCAGCATCTTAGAAGGAATACTTTTGACATCCTTCAATGTTTTGCTTTTCCCAATATAAAAGTGGTGACTGACAAAACCACCAAAACATTTACTATGTGCTTTAAGCATTACTTTAAGACAGTATATTGATTTCATACCAAATCTAGTCAAAAGACAAATTTCAAGGTCCAGAAATTGTTTTTTGTTTAAGGTAACATTTCAAAAGAATGAGAGATCTTGCTCACTACTTCACTTAGTGATCTCTTTATATTTATCGTATTAATGTGCCTAATTCCAAGTTAAATACAACCACTGTGTTTTCCCAGAAATACCTTAGATAGCTGAGGGTTTTTTTGTTCAAATGGTAACTAAACTGGGGGACAAGGACTATGAGATTGGCTTTTGTGAGACTTAGCATGTAATAAGCTTGGAGTCTCAAAAATAAATTACAAAACTCCTTTGGATTGTATTTGAGCCAGGATTTCATTTGTGGCAGACCTAAAGTTCTAGTGGAGCTCAGAGATGTATTTTGTCTGGTCTGTTTGGTCTGTTAAAAACGCCCATTCAATTCTAGTGTACATTTTAATGAAAGTAAAAAAATACCATGTTTCTTATTTGCATGTTTTACTTCAATCTAACCTAACAGGAGAAATACCAACGAGAACAAGAGAAACTGAGGGAAGAATGGCTACGAGCTAAGCAAGAAGCAGAAAAAGAGAGCTCCAAGTATTTTGATGAGGTAGGTTGTGAATAAAGCTTTGCTGACTAGTTTCATGAGGCCTTTTTTTCCCTTATACTAGATGCATGCAAGCAGGCAAATAATTGGGTTTTTTTATGTCATTTATCTTCTCATTTTGGAAAGTAAATTCTTGTCCATGACTTGGTAGAAAGAGATTGCAAAAAATGGGATGGAAAGAGTAGGTGGTTTTTTTGAGATATGTTGAATTTGTGTCTTTTCCTTATGAGCTAGTCAGATAACTAACATGAAAAATATGTTGGCAAAAAGACACAGCATGTATTAATTATTGTCATCATAAAGGGAGACTTTGGCTGTTTATTTGCCACCTGATGCTACTTGTTGGAGTTCTGCTTCAATACTTTATCAGGAAACATGTTCGTAAGCGTCTGGCTTGTTACTGGCAGACAATTCATTTGATGAATGTACATACCAAATCAACTTTATATTTCCAGTTATATGTTTTAAAACACTGAATGTGTGTAGTTTCTGTAGATGCTGACTTCTGTGGCTGTTGTTTATGTGAAGATGAACAAGTTTTTTCCTGATTATGGGAAGTGTCTGAGGTATCTCTTCTTTACAGCTAAGTGAGTGCTGCTTCAGGCATCCAAAATAGGTCAGTTGTGTTTACACAGTCATGAATAAGTAGACCACAATTTAAGGCTTAGAACTTTAATAAGAAAGATTCTGAGCTGTTGGAGGACTTTGTTGTACAAGAATCTAAACCATTTTCTATTTTTTCTGTCATTAGAGGTTTTGATGGACCAGTAAACATTATTTTTTCCCTGCAACCAAAACATCTTTTGACCACTGAAAGGCCTTTTCTCATTTTTGAGAAAAGAGTCACAGGGTGATAAGTCTGAGGCTTGACTTTGAAATGGTAGGAGAATGGATGAGAGTGGGAGATTCCTTTGCATGAGGATTCATGTGAAATTCATCGGTCTGATATAGATTGCAGTGTATATCTTTGTGTATACACTCTTAAGTAGGTCTCAGGTTTCTAAGTCAAAACAGTAGGGAGAAATGCTGGGTATCATGGAAGGGTTTTTTTTCCATGGGTATTTAAGTGGGGAAGGGATGGCTTGACATGTAAGTGATACTTTGGAAAGCAGAATGTTTCTCATAGTTGTGGCCATGCTGCCTGTGGTGCGTGCTAAGGCTGGTATGTGGATTGAAGCTCTTGAGTTAGGAGAATGTGAAACCAAACTGTGCCTTGCATCTTGCACTGGAAGTGCTGGGTATGATTTTTATACATTCTTACCTTATAGAATAAATTATCTTTTCTGAGCAAGCAGTCTATTTAAAAAACAGGTCCCCTCCCTACAAATATGATTTTTTTTCCTTTGCTACAGGAGCAGACCGTTCTAACACTAAATACAACATCCGTCACTTCTCAGGCTCCACCTGTGTCCAGCTGGAGAGCAAGCCCTGAAGCAAATGCTCCCGAGGAGCCAGAACGAGATGGAGAAAATGAACTGGCAGCGAGCTTGCTGCACGAAGAAGAAGGAAGGAGGAGGCTTCAGGAGGAACAGAGGATCCAGGAAGAAGCAGCCAGGCATTTTGAGCAAGAACAGGAGCTCCAAGAGCTGGAGCTCGAGAGACAACGTAAAGAGAGGGAGCAGCAGCACGCTGAGGAGCAGAGGCAGCAGGCTGAGAAGCAGAAGGAGGTGTCAGTGGAGGTGCCTCAGTACCAAAGGTGTGCATTTGCGCTAGGATGTACTTTCTCTTCCTTCTGCAAATTCAAACCTGTTTCTACCAGGGCTGTGTCTGTCCTGAATGTATAAAGACGTTCATGTATGATTCATGCTGCAATCAGTAGGTGCAAAATACTGTAGGATAGTCTTTCTTTCCAAAGACAGAAGGTTCAGGCATAACACAAAGTCCTTCCCCAAAAATCAAGTACTGTATTACCCTACTTCAGCTATTCTTTAAATGGGATGTGTAAATACAGTAATTACAGCCAAATGAAAGAAGATCTGAAGGATTTAATGAGAAAATTTTGTAAGAATTGTGTACAACCCAGTGACTCAACATACAAGGCTTCCAGAAGAAATACCAAGTTAACACTTTTCCAACAAATGTGTGGCTGATTTTTACAGATTTCTCTCTCATTTTAATTCAACAGTGTAACAATAAAACCTAATTGCAATTTAACTACTGGGTTAGTTTGTCAGGGAGGGATATCAGGCTATGAGTGAACTGTTACTTCCTTATATATCATAGCCTGTTAGAAACATCCACTGCAAATATATTTTTTTATCTCATTACCTTTTTCAGCAGTTTGATTTAAAAACCAACCAAACAAACAAATACCCACCTATTAGTTCTCAAGTTTGTGCTCCTGCCCAGTTTTCAGACTACTGTTACAGGAGATTAAGCTGTCTGAAACCAATTAAACCAGTAACCTTTCCTTATTTTGTCTCCATTTACCTTACTGCCTTGTGTGTGACTTGTGGCTTCTCTTGAGGTTTTTCTCCTTTTCTTATGTAAGTAATAAGAAATGACTGAAGAGAACACATGGTATCAAGCTAAATCTTAGGAGAAAATAATTATGATTTTAAAAACTGCATATATTTGCAGAGGAGGTTGTAACACCCAGAGTTACTTTAGTTCAATCTAAATGACTGCTGCTTGATATGCCTGCTGAGCAAAGCAGAGGCACAATGCTACAATGGCTGAACAGGTTCTTCCTGGCAGCAGAGCCAGGATAACTTTACAATTTTAGCTTATCCCTGTTGCAAGAGGATAGGTCTTTGTGTGGTAACTTATTAAGCTGCTGTAATATCTGCATATCTAAATCCCTGGTACACTCTTTAGTCCATGGGGATGTCATTGCTTCTGAGGTTGCTGCCAAAGGATGTGTTTTGCTAAACACAGGTGGTTTTGCTTAATAGTAAAGGAGCAGGTTCAGTGAAACTGGGCTTTAAAATATCTGGTGTTAAATATTTGCTATAAGATGATATCCAAAGATAAGACTTGAAATCTGAAATGTATAAACACCTGCAAAAGCATGATACTTGCTGCAGAGTACACTGAGGGAGGGGACAGGCTAAAGAGTGTTTTCTGTGGAGCTTTGTGAGTTTATAAACTGCACCTGTACACTCTTATAGAATAAAAACGTAATTTTTAGAGAATTGCTGTGCTTGGATAAAATTTTCCTCCTGGCTTTGAAATGGATGAGATAATCACTGCTGTATACTGATGCTTGTAATTTTTGCAGCATCTTAGTCTTTGGAATTCTTTTAATACATCTGAACTTTCTCAGTTTTCTCAAATTGTTTGCTCAATTTCTAGATTTTTTTTAATATGTATTTTATCTTTATTTTGCTTCTAGACATTATGAGCACTATGAAGTATCTAAAACAATAGAGGATCGAGCTGGCCATCCTGTCATTGACAGGTAATAAAAAATTGAATCAATACATAGTTAAAACATCTTTAGCAATTACCATTCTGGCATGCACATGTTTGATTTCCTTGTCACATCACAAAAATGTAATTTCAGGCAGTTTTTCTGACAATTCTTCTTTTTTTGCCTTCTTTTATCAGTTGTATTTCTGACTGTTAAATTGAGACTCCTTAGAACTTTACTTGTTTGGGGGGGTTTAATTTAAACTGGTTTGTTTGGTTTTTTTTCTCCTTAAGGATCTATTTTGAATTTTTCTCTTAGGAACTATTTATGTCTATGTGTGTCTTTTTCTGTATATGAACATAATACTTCTTTTTTTTGCAATAGGCATTATGAGCGTTATGAAGTTTCTAAAACCATTGAGGAGCAACCTGGCCAGGCATTTGCTGACAGGTATGTCCAATATTGAATCTCAGCACTGACTGTAACATCACCATTTCTTTGTTACAAAATTTTTAAAATTCTAATAAACTTTAGTCATAGTAGCTAAATGGATACGTTGGATTGCTGTTGTGTTTTGCAGTTTTTATGTCATGTTTTCATATTGAAAAAACAAGTGACCAAACTTTTGTCAAATTATACACTGTCTTGTAAGCAACAGTTAGTCAGTGGGATTCTACAGGGAGAAACAAAATTGTGAGGAGGTAAATATGTGGGTGGTATTAAACTTACCTGGCTGGAAAACAATTTCAGATATCTTGTGGTTGTGTCATAGCATGCTCTACAAACTAAGGTGCAGTCATCCCAATTCAGGTTGTGCAACTTGAGAAAGTAAACAAGAAGGGAAATAAGAGGCAACAACAGCATACTTATCAAGGAGATAGTGCCTGTTACTCCTGTAGTTTACACAAGTTAATTTTAAGGTACCATCTCTTGCTTTACAAATCAAACCTTTGTTTTGCATTGCATCTCACAGTAGTTATGAAAGATGATTTCTGCTGTGCATTTGATCACTTCTCATAGTTGAAGTGAGCATACTTCTCTTATATAAAGAGGAACTCCAAAAATTACAAGGTACAATTGATGGATCTGCTACTAATGGAAAATCAAGATCTAACTTCAGAAGGAGCATGCACTACATAGTTACATCTTGGATATATATGTGAGAAGGACACTGCTTTTTTCTTCACTACAGGCAGCTGTGAGAGTGTTGCTTCTTCTTAAATAGATAATAAAATAAGTCCACACCATAGGACAGACAGTAAGAACTTAAGGAAGCAAGATGTGATGTAGTTTATGCTTCATTTATGTCCACATAAAGGACAAGACTCTTTCAAAATGTGGTTGTGCAGCCAATGCTATATGTGTAAAACCATTAATGTAGCAGCTTCGAGTTAGGACCAAGCAAAGGATTTCTTTTAAAATTTTTTCTTTGTGAGTTATTTTATTGGCTATGCTACTTGAGACTAATAATATAGCAAAGGTGTTGCTGAAGATTCTGCTCTGTACTGTCAGAAACCAAACTTTTTGCATTTGTCTCCCTGTATATGGCATTTGTTGAATGCCATTACATGGCTAAAACTCATTAAAAAATTATTCTGCTAGGTATAATCAGTGAACAGTAATTTTTTCCAAAAACTATCTGCATGCAGGGTTTTGAGAAGGTGTTTTACTTACAGTCTAGTAACAGTGCTGAAGTGGTTTCAGTTTCTCCTTAAGCCAAATCAATTGCAAATCTGTTCTGAAAGTTCTCACTTCTTTGTCTGACTATAGTCTTTACAAAGCTTCCACAGGGAAGGATTTAGTTTTTTACATGTTTTTTTTTTTTTAAACAACAATGATCAGTTCCTTATACCTGAAGCACTGACAACTTTCAGTACAAAATTTTAACTTTTAATTGGTGATTATCTATTGAAATCTAAATACTGGCTTTTTCTCCCCCTTAGTATCCTCTTGGTCTTTAGTTATTTTTTGCCTCTTGTTTTGGGAGGGATGGTGAAAAAAAGAGGACTGGTTCTATCATCTGCAATGATAAGAGTTTTGTCTGTAATGAGGTCTTGTAATTAAGATAGATGAATTAATATTTTAATATCCTTAGGAATAAGTCCAAGTCAACTACAGAGCTGAATGAATTCAACACAATCAGAAATGGTAAGTAATGTATAATTTCCATTATATTTAATTTTTTAGGCAGGTAGAGAAGAGGAGAGTAGGAGGGAAAAAATTAAGATGTGTTCATATAATCATCCTAAGAAAATTAATTTTTAGAGTGCTTTTTGATAGCTGCATTGTAAATTCATACTATGCCCCAATTTAATGAACTTTCAACAGCAAGAGGAAAATCATAAAGTCAACATAAAAGCTGAGGACAAATATGATTCACTACCCTCTTGAAAACAGTGATTTCAAATGTCTCTTAAATGCCTAATTTTATGCCTTAATGCCTAAATTTTAATGACTGATTTTTGCATGAGATCAAATCAATCATGAAGTTATATAATTGAATATATGTGTAGTTTTGATGCATTGACTCTGTAAACAAAAACCCCAAACAAAAAAAAAAAAAAAAAAAAAAACCAAACAAAAAAACCCCTGCACATATCAAGATAATGAATGTATTTAATACAACTCTTTATCTTCTTAATTTCAGTTAATTTAGTAATAACAGAGCATGAAGTCAGCTCTTGATATGTCACAATGACTTGTGTCCTGGACTCCAGTTCAGTTATATGACTTTGGTTATATTAGAGGAGTGTGCAAAGCAAAAAAATCAGTTTTATAAATGTGTTACAGTCAAAAATGCCTGCAAGCTACTTTTGTGTCTAAAACACAGTTAAAAAAAGTAATCAAAGAAAAGTAGATGTATTAGGGGATATATTGCAGATTAAAAATGTTGCTTTCATACATTAAAGCACTGTCATTGAAACTAAAGAGAAAGTAAATTTCCACAGTATTGTACAATTATAATCTATAGCAATAAATCCAAGAGTAAATCTACAGTCAGAGCAGCATTTAAAAGGATTGAAATTTCAATTGAATGACTTATTGCTGAGTAATTTTCTTAATTATTTTTACTATAAAGAACACGTACTGGATCTAGGAAATAAAAAATTGTTGCCTTCTGAGATGTCAACAGCTATTGGAGAAAGATTGTTTATTTCTTTCCCCTTCCCCTTTTTCAAAGACCATCTATACCATATCTTAATTTCAACTCAGTAGGTAACACATAATCCAAATAACTGAAAGATTTCCCTCTCCCTTTTAATACCTATATAAGCAATATAAAGCAGTGTGTTTAGTGCCTTGAAGAAAGAAAGAAGGAAACTCTTGTAAACAGAGACAATTTACAAAAGAGTATGAATTCTTAAATAGAAAGAATGTATCCCATTATTTAACTATGTATTTTATGCATGGTTCAGTTTGTACTGGAGGAAGAGTCCAAATTATGGCTCTAAAAGAGGTGAGACCATTTATAAAAGAGGGGTGTGTACACACAAATGTCTATGCATATACACTTAGTAAGTGAAGGAGAATGTATTTAAATTAAACATTATGTAAAAGGCTATATTAATGGAAATACAAACAAAAAAATAATCAGTAATGTTGTATTGATAAGTTTTACTCAGCTGTAAGCGGGAACTGGAAGAACTTGTGAATGGTGTGATGAACCAAATCTGTTGGAATTATAACCAGAGTGCTGACAGGATGATAGCTGCTTTTGTGCCTTGAGGTGTCTAGCTGATGTTTGCACATGCTGTCTGCACAGGTACCCAGAGCAAGTATTCTGAGAGGTCCTGGAACATGGGTGAGTCACAGAAGAAGTCTCAGAAGGAGCAAAACCTTTCTGCAGCAGAGTTGGAGAGACAGCAAATCCTTCAGGAAATGAGAAAGAAAACATCTCTACACACGGACAGCAGCTGGATTAGGCAGCGCAGTGCCAGTATACATAAGGAGCCCATTAGTCTGTACAGCAGTAGTATGAGGAGGTAGGAATCAAATTAAAAATTAACTCTGTCTCTCATCATACATTTTTCTTTGGTTATTCTGAACTTTAGCTTGTATTACAGAGCACAGAAACAAACTGAGTCTGTGAAATGCCATAAGGTAGACAGCATAGCAGCACAGATAGAAGAAAGTAGCTGTGTTTCAGCTGGGATTGAATGGGTTTTTTTACAAGTAAGGAATATGGATGTGACCTGTAAATAATTCAGTTGCTTATTTCTTGGTTGGTATAGCAGCAATGGAAATCAATAATGTGCCTTGTCATTAGCAGATGCTTTCAGAATATCAGCATGGCAGCCTGTTTTGGAAATGAATTATTGTGGCTAAGAAGTATACCTTTTTTCAGCACAGAAATATGTCATAAAGTTTGGATAGTTTATTTTTGCTTTATTTAATGTATTACTCTTGGATTTGTCACTTAGGAAACAGCCGAGTTATCAGTCAGGAGAGTGTTTGATTATTGGGCCAACACCTTGTACCAGGGTGATGCTATCCTGTCTGGGTGGATTGTTATTTTTGATCTGGTATCCCTTGGAGAAAATATAAACAAAACTGGTATCTGAGGTCTGTTGCTGTACTTGGATATTGATACAGTTCATCCTGATAAGGCTGCAGTGAAGTGTTTTGCTTTTATTAAGTAGCTGTTAAGTGCCACCTCTTTTGCCTCGCCTATTTTTTACCATGAGAACTACGTCTGGACACAAAGGATAATTTGTTACTCAGTACGTGAAGAATATTGCTCAGAGTGATCAAACAAACATATTAATCCCAGAAAATATTAAAAATGTGAGGATAATTACTTTCTCTTAAAAAATCAGGATGTAGCACTGTACTGCCATTTGCATTTGAGGTGCTTGAATCTCTGTTGCAGAGGGGAGTCTTTGGACAATCTTGATTCTTCAGGAATGAGATCATGGAGGCACCACTCATGGCTGCATCAGTCTGCATCCTCTTCATCTCTATCTTCTAGTCAAGATACTAGTCGCCCAGTATCCACTTCAAACCGAGCCTACATGTGCACTCCTTCCTCCAGCAAAGCACCTCCTGTGGCCACCTCTGTGAGAAACCCCTCCACGTCCCAGACAGCCCCCCGGGCTCAGTCTCCCCTCTCTGCTTCCCAGTCAGGGTCCCAGACACGCAGCAGGTGAGTGGGTGCCCTTTTTCTGGGAAGATAAAAATGCTGGATAGCACTAAAGGACAGACTTTGTGTGTTTACAGCAGTATTCTTGCCCATAACATTGATTAACAAGTACCTGGAGTGTCCCCTGGAGGGGACAGTGGAAATAGGGGCTGGTATTACCTCCCTGCTCCAGTCACTCAGAAAATTCCCCAGATTTGTCATCACTGTTTGACATTGGTTAAAAAAACAAAGGAACTTGAATAATCAATCTGCAGCCTCCAAGCTATCTGTTGGTTACCAAAATTATTAGCAAAAGACTGTTCCACATGGCATTTCTGACATTTATTTTGCCTGGTTTGTTTTAACAAAAGATTCCTGAAACCCACGCTTTATGACCCTCATCTTGGTCTCTCCTCCTCACTTCCTGGCATGTGGTCAATATCATCTTGAGGAGCACTCAGGAATGCTCATAACCCATGACCCTGGAGAATTACAGAGTAGGATGTTGATTTTAATCTAGGAGGAGAAAGCAAGAATTGCAACATATTTTGAAACAAAAATGGAATTCAGCTGTGGTAGGGTAGATAACTCTGCTGTTTTATGTACTTAAAACATTTTAAAAATACCTTGGGATAGCACTCCAGAGAATCATCCCACACAGAATAACATGTGTTATAAATAACAACAGTGAATACTGCTTCACTAGCTCTTACACTCTCAGTCACTTAATGATAAATTGGCCCAATATTTTTTTTAAACTAGTCTTTTACATTCTTTATGATGTAAGAAAATTACCTTCTTAACCATATTTGCTTATCTCATTCTCACTTCCATTTGCTAACACCTTGGTAGATCTATGGAAACTGACCTCCATATAGCTTATGTTCAAAGAGTTAACATAATATTTTATGTCCAGGACTACCCTTCTTTTTCCTAACAAGGTGCAGATGGTGGGACTTGGAAGGGGTGCTTTCTAAAACTTAGCCTTCTGGATAGTTCCCCACAACTAAGACAGGAGCACAAAACCTTTGTTCTTACTCTCCAAACTTAACAGTACACTTTTTTTTTTTTTTTGTAGAAGGTATTTTATACAATGAAATATGTGCCAAGAATGTGACAGAATTTCTTAACTTGTTCCTATGTAAATTTGATCTACATTATAACACTTCAGCTTTTCATGGCTTTCAGATCTACTCTAAATAATATTAATTTTCAGTTTATTTTCCCCAAGCAGCTTAATAGTCCAGTTTTTACCCATGTGTTTTTTATTTTCAATCTCAAAAAGTATTTGATAACTCTTCTTTGTCTTTTAAACATTTTCAAGCTGGTTTTAAGGTTTTTCATTCTATATTTAGGTCAGTCAGTGGGAAGAAAATCTGTTCATACTGTAATAACATTCTGGGCAAAGGAGCAGCCATGATCATTGAATCTCTTGGTCTTTGTTATCATTTACATTGCTTTAAGGTGAGAGCTGGGAGTCACATCATGAAGGAGGAGGAACTAATCAGGAGCAAGCATGGCTACTCAGTGTTATGCTCACAAGGGTTCTTACTAATCACCTGCTTTGCCTTCTACTATTGACAGCTGGTGCATGCATATTTCCATGAGGCAGTCCCATTTGCAGGCATTTAGCACTCGACTCTAGAAGTGTTTCTTAAATTCCAGAGTTAACTCGGACTTTGAAAAGCAAGATGAGCACATGGACTGCGAGATCAAAGATTTCCTTCTTCAAATAGGTGGCAAAATATCAGAAAATGCTGAACTACTTCTCCCAAAGAAAGCAGCCCCTCTTAAAAAAAAAAGTCTCAGCCTGGACCATGGCAATTAAATAATTTTAAAAGACCCATCCTTTCTAAGCTAACCTTAGCAGACAGTGTTCATGTGGTGTTTTCCAAGTAAAGGCATGTTGGAAGAGTTCAAAAGGGCAGGATAAAACTCAGAAAAAAACCAACTACTCAGCCCTAGTCACCAACTAAGTGTACTAGGTCATGCCCAGCAGTGAGACCTAGGCCTACTTACATGATTTCCCATCAGCTTGGGGCATTTGCAGAGCTGAAAGAATAAATATTTGCCTGCAAACCACAGCAAAGTAGTCCCATTCCCCTGCCATCAGACTAGATGTGGAATTAGACTATGACTTGGAAGTGCTGTTGGACCCTACTTCTTCCCTGAGTTCAAGAAAGAGATTTCTGTGTGTAGCTCAGAACACTTGTCTTCTGTGCCCAGCTCAAGTGCATTACCTGGAGCATTACTAGGGATTGACTCCAAGCTCTTCCTGGTTCTGCCTCCCTGAGCAGGAGAGACAGGACTAATCCACAGTGATCCATCGCCATTCCCTTTTCTGCAGAACATGTATTCTGTGTGAGACAATTCACCTGTAGCTCATAAACCTACATGAGAAAATATCAAGTTTCTGTTTTTCAAATTTCTGAAAATTAATGAGCTGTTGAACAGACTGCCATCTAAAAGATTCATTACTTGGTTAAGCAGGGAAACTATCTGTCTTTCATAAATTCAGTAAGGGGGAGTATTATGTTTTGGATTACATTCCTTCCAGATGTGTTCTATATTCAAAGCAAGTACATGCTTCGCTACCATAGCTAAATAGTTTAATGTTAGCATGGAAGTGGTCAAGCCCCTTACGTATTTATGCAAGAAAAATTAAATCAGCCTCATCTCTCCAAATCAGAACTTGTTTCGAAGGTGCAAACCCAGGAAATTGGGAGTGCCTGTGTGCCTGTGCATTTTCTGCTTCGAGTGCCAAGGTACTAAGGACACAAGCAGTGTGTAGTGCCGCATGGAAATCTGCAAGTAGCACACCCAGGTGTTCTGTGCCAAAATTCCTGTTGCCATCTAGAGAATAAATTTTTTTTGTGCCAAACCAGTTTTAGTTTTCAGAGAAACCAAAGTTCAAATTAGATTTAATGAACTAATCTCTAAAAACCGTCTGCTTTATGTTTGCTTACTTGGTGTATCTCTGCTATTCGTTGTCCAGTGGTCGCTTTAAAATACTTCCTCAGGGCTGGTTGCATTTTGATCTACTAATCGTTGTACAATTGCTTCTAGTGATTGTGGGGTTATGGTTCAGCCTTTGTTGAGCTTAATCTGAGCTGCTTTTGAACAGCATTTTTGTTTCTTAGTATTTTGGAAGGAGTTACTAATTATTCATGTGTGATACAGTGTGTTGCCTGTGGATGCGACCTTGGTGGATCCCGCTCTGGAGCTGAAGTCAGGATCCGAAACAACAAACTCTTCTGCAACGACTGCTATATCAGATTTAAAAGTAAGGCAATCCAGCTGCATGTGCATGACTGTAGTTCTTCTCTGTGCTGTACAACCTCAAGTGTTTGCACAGCTGAGCCACTTGATAGCTTTCATGTTCAGCTTTAAGTTAGTGAATAGGTTCAGCAAGATTTGATTGCCAGTTTCTGTCTTTTGTAGGGTAGTCATTCCTTACTTCTAAATCGCTGGTAGCTGATTTTACCAACTTATTATTACTCAGTTTCAAGCAGACAGCATGGTATAGTCATCTTCCTTCCTTTATAGATCTGAGAAAGTGGTGTCAAGGAGCTGTCAGGTGCTAAACAGGCTTCTCTTGATAACAGAGAAACCTTTTTGAAAAAGTGCCTACATTGTCTTAAAAAGTAAGCTAAAATATGTATTCAATTCAGTCCTAATACATACCTGGAAAGTAATTCGTTTTTCTTGTGCAGGTGGCACAAATGCTGGTTTCTTTTTGTGATGCTATTATTATTGGAATTATAGGTCTGTAATTGGTTATTCATTTAGGTACAAGTTCAGGAGGAATTGATTTACTTACAGATCTTAATTAAAAGGTGCAGTATAATTTTTTTCCTTCTTATGGTTTGCAGAATTCTGATTTACTGGAGCATGATGTTAAGGCTTTGTGTAGTGGTATTTAGGTCTTTTTTTCTGCTGTCGTAGATGATGGTAGACAACTTCCTAATTTTGATAAGTGTTAGGCTTTTTTTTTTATGTAGAAAATGTGGAATTCTATAGGATGATAAAAATCAGGGAAGGGAAATAATTTCTGAATTACTTTCTAGAAAAATGTCCATGTTTCTTTATGAGCCCAGCATATTTTTTTCATGGTAGATCAGAAGGCAGTGAAGGGAACGGGATATTCATGATACAGTGTTTGAGCAGGACCTGGGCAGCTGCTGGCTGTGAAACCTAGCTCAGGAAAAGAGAAGCTCTGCATCTGATGCTGTTGCTGTTTGCAGGCTCTTTTTGACTTCCATGAAGTCACAGAAATGATGATGGGATACCTGAGCTAAAGCCAGAAAGTGCAACACCTTGTGAGGGTAATAGCACATTCACAGGGGCTAATGTGATCAGTGGAAGGACGAAGAGAGTCATTCCCTTCCATTTGGAAGTGATCCAGAGCACTGGGTCATACCATGTCTAATTTAATGCTTGGAGGATATATCTCCTTGTTGATGGCAAGACTACACTGAAGTGATTGTGTTCCTATTTGAAGCACCCAAATGTGTGAGAGATTCACTCTGGAGCTTGCTCACATTTTTTCCTCTGTCTTTTCTTTTGGGGGGAAATATTGCTGGGCGAGTTGGATAAGTAATTTTATTATGGATGAATTGCTATTTAGTCTCTCTTTGACATTACAGCCCATAAAGTCACAGCAGTGCCTTTCAGAAGCAGAGCTGATCTGTGAGGAAACGTTTCTATTCCCTTCCCTTCAGACTGCATCTACTTGGGCCAGTGGGCACCTCAAAACATAATTGTATGAGATACAAGTAAAATCAGGAGTTGTAAGAACTTGTAGGTACAGAACACAATATAAAACTAGTGATTAGTAATTGAAATCAGCTATTTGAATAATACAAAAACCAGCTATGCAATTACTGCAGTGAATGTATTGGCAGCACAGCACTGGCCTGTAATGTGAATTACTATTTTTTGCAGTTGGCATTTGACATCAACCTGGCTAATTATTTGTTAGTTTGGAATGTGAGTATGTTGGCTAAAAGGTTTGATAAACCATAGGGTTATTAATATTCACTTTGCAGTTTGATATAATTTTATGTGATATTTCTGCACATTTTTGTGTGAATTCTGTGGTTTAAACTTGGAATGTTCTAGTGAAACATCACTGTATTGGCAGAAACCTACAAAGATATACAGAGAGGATAAAAACATTCTTTATATTGTTACAGTTATTTAGCAAATTTTAATTCATTATTGAAGGGTAAATTTAGAAAAACTATCACTCTGTCTCTGTGCTAATACTAAAAATAAATTAAATTAATTAAAAATAATTCTTAAAAATTTGGTAAGGTGCATGTTCTGTGGAATATGACTTGGCCTGAAATATTTGCAGTGCTATAATTGGATTAAATTCAAATTTGTGTTGTTCATTAAATTTGGATTGCTTAATTCAGAATGTATACATTAATATATTACCATTTTCAAACAGTATTTGAAACTTTAAAATGTTTTTGACTATTAAGTGTCTGTTTTAAACTTTAATATTGTAATTGTTGTCACAAAAGTTCTTAAGTAAATAGATTTTACTTACAGTTTCTTTTGTCTCTCCCTAACAGCTGGACAACCAACCTCCATGTGAAGCAAATGAAGATATGAAACCACTGTTGCAGATACAAGAAGAGGTGATTGCTGCTGATGTAGATCTATAAATATATATATTGTGTGTATGTGTGGTTTTTTTCTAAGAGTAACTCTTGCTTGTCTAGTCTTCGTAGCAATACCTTGTATTCTTTATGTAACTATTTTTATTTATAAGAAAGTAATTGCAGTAAGGAAATGGCTGGGAAAAATGCTTTCACATTTTCAGCTTCAAGTACCGAAAGCACAAGAGAGAATAAGTATATTTTCCATAATAACTTCAAAATATTTTTGAGACTTATAATCAACTAGTTGACTTTCCAATGGTATATGAAGAGGGTATTTTGTTTCTAAGCTCTTGAAATGAGCGTTAGAGAAATAGCTAATATAAATATATATTTGCAATTGCTGTCTTTATTTTTGACATATACTGAAAGTTAATTCTCTAGGTTAATATGAAGCTGCATTTAAATGCACACAAATGTGTTTGCTTTCCATATGCTGGTTTCTAAAATCATGTGCTTTTTTGAAACCTAAATACAAAGAATAATCTGTTTGCTCAGTGGTGTTGGCATAATATTCTGTGGAATCCATTTAAGAGAGAGAGAGTTTTCCTTTCCCATTTGGAAGTGTAACTATCACTCTTTCCTCTGCAAACTGAGTGGAGAATGGTTGTTGAATTATCATATATTTGTAAATAAAAACCTGATGTTGCATTTATTAGAAGTTTTTGTCCTTTCTGTTCAGCTAAACATGTCTAAGGTAGTGTGTAGAAATATAAAATTGTTTGATTTTCATCTTGGGAAAAATATTTGTTCTGACAGGCTTAAGTTGTTCACATAAATATATGCAAGAACAGTTCTTCATTTTTTCTCTTTCTTTGTAGTCAATGTCAAAGTCTCTGTACAGCTTTTTCATCAACCTCCTCATTCTATTTCCCTTGAGCATTCAGAGAATGTGGTGAGATTATATGTCCAACCCTGAAAAAAAATTGAAAGAAGTGGATGTTCCTTAAAATTTCTCTGCTATTGCTAGAAATGAAGTGCTGAAAATGTTTTTGGGTTAGGTTCTGCCTCTCCTGAAAACACAACTGGAATGTGCACTATGTCTCAGTGGTGGCTTCCAAATTGTTCTGGTCAGTGGCTTCTCCAAATCCTTTCATACCCAGTTATGTATCCTTCTGTGTCCATATTGCTGGAAGCAGTGGAAAAAAAAATAGTTTGTGGATCAGAGGAATCTTGGGGAGTGTTTTGTGGGTAAAACTGAGGAAGAGGAAGCTGGCAGGTACAGGAGGGGTCTTGAGTGTGAGCTTGTATATGGTACCATGAAGAGCTTCAGTGAGGCTGCCAGGCAGCTTAGGGTGCTCCTTGCTCTCAGGGGATTTGGCTCTCAGGAGTGGTGTGTAGGAGAGCTCAGAGATTGGGAAGAGATTGTGGCTATGATAGCTGGGGGTAACAAAGGAAGATGGTGCTGTTTTGGTACAGTGGGAGAACTTCACCTGCGTCCCTGTAGTTTCTCCTGCTTGTAACTGGATGCTGCTTGCTGAATTACAAAGTGCCAAACATTATTTTTACTTTTTGCTTTAAAAATTAACATATAAAATCTAAAATGTCTCATCAGCCAAACTTGACTCTGGTTTTTGTTATTCAGTTAAAGACTGGTAAAGGTGTTTAATTTGGTTTTTACGGTTGTTTTAAGTAATCACATGATAGACCACAGACGACGTCACTGTGATATGAAGACCCTAGTCATCAAGTACAAACTATGGAGGAATAGTGCCTGTTCACACAGCTCTCTGGAGTCCTCTCTGCTGCTAGTGGAAGAAACTTGCTTCCCTGAAAGCTGTTCAGAATCTAATTTAGGTACTGTGCAAATATGGCTTTCTGTTAAGGCACATACCTTGGGTGGACATGGTATGGATGGCCCTCAACATGGTAGTTTTCAGACTTCATTTACTGAAGACAGCATCTGCAATAATGAACCAATGAAGCACTGTCCCCTGGCCCCCAAATTCCAGATACCTACAGTCTCCACTACCAGCCCTGAAATACACTGAGAGACAGTTTTTTTGTCACAAGTCAAAGTTTCTCAACATCTAACCAATAAATTTATCTTAGCCTGTCCATGACTCCCCCTCTCTCAACACTGTGTTATGCAGCAAAACTCTGATAAAATTTAGGGATGGTGACGTTGTTTTTTGCATCTTGAGCCCAGTCATGTTTCCCTGGCTGTGGGAATCATTTGGGCATGGAAATTGTCTGGTGGTGAAAAATGGAAGGAGAGAAAATTCGGCGGTCTGTGGTCTGCAGTGCTGCCTGGCTCATGTCCCGCAGCCTGGAGTGGTATGCTCTGAGCCAGGCTGGCTTCTCTTAGATGGTGTCAAGTACTTCCGTGCAGGGTCCAATTTCATTTTCCCACAAAATATCTGCAAAAAGGTGGGGTTATTTCATTAGCTTGCTTGTGCACAAATGAATGGGATTTCAAATTTAGTGGGCCTCAAAGTGCTGGAATTGAAACTCTTCAAGAGTTGAAGCTGAGTTTCCACCCATGATAAATTCCTGGGTTTTAAACAAGGCTCTGTCAAATCTGCATTTGTTAATTCACAATGGTAAATGTTAGTAACAAAAATTCCTTTGTCCCCTCCTTCCCTTGGAGGGGAACAGGCATTGCAACCTAATGAATGTTGTATTTGTCTGTTTTGATCCTTGCTGAAGTATTTGGAGCATGTTGAGCTCTCAAGTTCAGCAAACCTGGTTACTGACACAAGATGGCAGTGTGGAAGTGCACCTTGCACATTAAAAAACCATTTCCGTGATTGTAATCTCATATAAAGTGTTTTAGTGTTTGCTAAATTATGCTGAAGTTGTGATGTAAGAGAACTTTGTCTTAATCTTGGCCCTTTCTTCCCACCTGGCATCATAGAGATACGATGTGCAGCTGAATCTGAGACATCTTGGGTTCTTTTTGTTTGTTTGTTTGTTTGTTTGTTTTTTCCTATTTCATTAATTAGCTGCTGCTTACAGCACTACAAGGTAGGGATTGTGGTAAAGAGAACAATGAAATAGATGATTTCTAGTGGAGGTTTTTGCTGTATATTGTTGGAGTCTTTTTTAAGGTAATGTTCAAGGAAGAAGAACAAATTGCTCTCAGTTCATCAGCTGCAGAATTGCTGTTTAAAGTTACAGCCCTCAAATGCATGGGTGTACAGGAGAGCTGGAACTCTGCACTGCTGCTAAACTCTGAGTACATTTAGGGCTGTGTGCTCTGTTCAGTACTCCCAGGTGCTGCTTGGGGTGTTGTTGTCTGGGGCATCTACCCAGAGCTGGTCTGGATAAGGTGCAAGCCTGGGAGATACTCATGCAGCTGCCATGGCAGGTTCTGCAGGATGCTGTGGTACTGTGTTGTTGAGAGGGCAGTAGAGATGTACAAGTTAACAACTGAAAGAACATCAGCTGCTTGCAGAGGTGTGATTCCATGGGCTGGTGAGAACATGCCCACTGTTAGGTGAGGTGTTTGGCTGTCTAAGCTTCACTGACATCAACAGACATGCAGCCTGTGGCTCACATGTAGACACCTGCATTATTGTACACCTGTTTATTTAATGCTTTTTTGGCTTAAAAAAATCCTGGAATTATCTGAGAACTCTTGAAATCTCCCTTCTATTTAGGCTTGCAGGCTGTCAGCTAATAACTAACTGCAGTGTACATTTTAATGCAGCTTTGGAACCGAGTGGTCTATGGGTAACAGCTCTGTCACAGGTCAAGGTTTAAATAAAGTGGCACTTCAAAAATATAAAATGTTTTCACTGTGGGCTATGTCTAGTACATAAGAACAAATCAAGCATCTTGGAGTACAATTCAAGGTATTGCATATGTTTTTAATTTTTATGAGAGTTTCTTTTAGGGTTTTATAACAGGAAATTTGTCAGAAATTTCAGTATTAATTACCTATGAGTTCACCCGTCCAGGCAAGCTGTCACACCACAGGCAGTGCTGATCAGTGGCAAGATTTATGCAGCAGAGCCCATTTTTCGAACCTGATGTCTGAGTTTGAAGTTCACACTGACCTCAGAAATGGTCAGAGCCAGTCTTGTTATTTTCAGTAAAATACTTTTCAGGTGAATCCCAAGGGAGAGTTCAGTGATAAGTTCAACACTTCCCTTAGGTAATAGCTGTTGCTGCATCGCCCAACTTTGTCACTTATGGAGGGGGAAAGTGTTTGATATCTGACAATGTGAGCTCAATGTGAAAGGTGGTATGCTTGCAGCAGTGTTTTAAATTCCAACCAATCATTTTTAATGGATTAGCAAAACCTGTGCTATGGCTGTAATGGAAGGCTTATTAGCAGCAGGCATAATTACACAAAAGAGCAGCTTCATGCTGGAAGCACTTTAGCATTTTCATTTTAGCTCCATGCTTCTTGGTAGCTAGGGGCACCAACATAAAGCAACATATGAGGATGATGTAAAGTGCTTCCTCTCAAAAGGGATGTTCTAGGGTGAGCAGTAGGGTATCAGTTTATTAAAACTAAAGAATTTTTTTAATTGGTTCAACCAACTTGAAACAAACTTGCCAGTTAAATACTTGCTGTAGGTAGCAAACACTCCAAAGGTCTGCCTTATTGTGCAGTGGGAATTACTGGGTTCTCCTCGACATTTGATATTGTATAAAGAACAAAAACACTTTTTAAAAATCATGTACAAGTGTGTATGTGCCTACAGTTTCTCTTTACTGTTTGCAATAGAAGAAAAAAAAAGCTCAGGCCATCAAATGGGCAGTTCATGAGCACAACCCTGTGAGAGCAGGCCTGTGTTTGGCACAGTGTGCCCTCCTAAATGACTTTCTGCAAGTACCTGGCCAAGAGCAAGTGTTTCTGATTCCCTGAACTGGAATTTGTTCTCATCCTCCAGCACTTAACCAGATGTGCCATTCATTGCTGTTCCAACTGCATATGACCCTTCTGTGCTGGAAATTCAGACATCAGGGTCAGACCAGGCTACTGCAATATTTGGTCTGCCTGTATCGCTACGAAGTTCAGAATCTCATCCAACAACTCCCATATTGAACACAACTGTGTGAACAGTGGTGTGCTTTGTTGGAAAGAAGCTCTGTGTAGATCTGAAGTATGCAAATGATGAAAAGTGTCAACATAAATTGTTCAGTGGTTAATTAGCACTCTTAAAAATACTGATTTTATTTTTACTTATCTTAATGAGCTTTCTACCTTATGATTGTATTTTTGTTCGTTTAAGTTGATTTAGACTTCTAGAGCTAGCCTGGCACTCATTGACATCTGCAAGATTGTAAATAAGTCTTCTTTTTTTTTTTTTTTTGGGTTTTTTTTGGTTTTTTTTTTTTTTTTTTTGGGTTTTGTTAGGTTTTTTGTTTGTTTTGTTTCTCATACCTGTACCTAAAGCCTTATTGCTCACATTAAACACAAAATGCAAGATTACCTCCATGGGTGGACATTTTGGATTAAAGGACATTCTCTCAGCGAACTGCAACTCAAAACTTTCCAAGGAGATTCATAACACAGGAGATATATGCCTGAAGAGCATTAAAAAAAATGTGAGGCTGTATAAGGATTTATTTGCATAAGGCAAATATTCAAATGAGAGCTAATGCCCATAAGAGAATTTTGCTGCATAGCTTTTCTGGCATAATTACTAAGGTTTTGATTTGCCTTTGTTGGAATGACCATGCCCAAAGTCCTGTGTAGTTCTGCTA